TCTACTGTTTTGTCAATAAAACTTGTCATAAATACTGTATTCTGCTGTTTCATCCAGCATACCGACCTCATAGAACGTGCAAAGTGCAGTAGAAACTTTATACGTATCTCATTTCCGGCTGTAGGTTCCTTATATCAAAACGTTCAAAATTTCATCCTCTACAATCCCCAAATTTTTAAAACGTCATTCTGATATACCCTGTGTATGTATATACATATATTACAAACTTATTTCATTAGTAAAAGTGCATAGTTGCAAAAGAATTCATTTTTATTGTTTGGGCTACAAACAGTTCAAATCCGCTACTTTTGGAGCACAACCACGCTCCTTTTTAACCTTCAGATCTGGCAACGCTGATCACTAGTCTATTCAATGTAGTACGAATTTGGCGTAAGTCTTGGCCCTTAGCATCGGAATTTTGTAGTGAAGGGGGCGATACTACGTAACGGTTTTACTGAAAGGTGCGACGATTCGTTAGAGGTTGAGAAACACTGCTTTAAAGTATATAAGGTTAAAGGTATAAGGTCATACAAGTGGTATTAAGTACACTGGACTTGGTATACTAATGCAGATACTGTACCTCTATTTGATTAACACCATTTTGATATACACAGTAGCAATGAGGAATTAATTAACCACGGTAATTGAGGGATACCCATATAATAAATTTAAAACGTAATATAGCATTCTCACTGGCTTCACGAAGAAGTTTTAACTATATCTCTATTGTTCTCAATTAATTAAAATATAGTTGATATCGAATGAATTTATTTTTTTATTCTGGACCAAAAAAACATTTTTAAATAAACAAAGAGCATATCTTGGAGATATTTTTTCATACAATCACAAGAAATATTGAAGTCCAAATGTTTAATAATTTGATCCTTCTTTAATTAATTTAACCTTTATTGAAAAATAAATATTTTGCTAAAATGCTTTCTAAAATATGGGATCTTCCAAAATGGATGCTATCGTTTTAAACTACTGTAATTATATTAACCGTAATCATCCTTTGCATTGTATACGGCTTCCAGGAAGTGCTGTAAACAAAAATGACGACTCCACAATATGGAAGGTGTTTTGTGTTCTGCAGTTTCAAACCTGGAATCACTTATTGTCGTATGATGCAAGTGGCAATTGGCAACCGTGGAACTGTGGCTGCTGTGTGAGGAGTGACAGCGGATATGCCGTAGTGAGAATAGGAAGAATTTGAGTATCAGTCAGATGTCTGCTGTGTAATATGAGGTGCACATGTCGAAATCTGTAATGGGCAAATGCGAAACTTGTACAGTTTTCCAATGTTTTAATGTCTGTTCTCGGATAATAATTAACATAATTAGAATAATTTCACCTGATAGCATTCTTTTTGGAAGATCCTGTAATATCAATATGTAAAAAGATATCTTACACAAAACTGAAAGTAAACTGCTGATAGGACATATTCTTCACTTGATACCATTTGCACTGCCCCCAAAAAATCATTTCAAGTTATGACTCTTTTTTGAAAGTTCAAATCGATCATTATTGTTTCTCAACAAGTAACTATAACATGTTGGATCGAGTAAAGAGTAAATTTCATTGGCATTTTTATTTGCAAGATCTTTGAATAAAAAGTTACTATTTCACATGATACTATTTTACAGTAATTATTCATGTCTACATTGTGTATACCTAGAATATCTTGTTTACCATTAAATATACTGAAAGATGAAGGTACAGGGTCTTCCATAATGAGTGCTACCATTTTAAGTTAGTGTAATAGTGTTAACTATTATGTGAGAAGTATGTGATGTACAGTACACCAATCCGTAGAGTAATCGTCCAAGTTTCGTCTCCCGCGTGTGCTCAAACATTGGTTGTCTACTTCCTCTAAGAAGCTCCATAAACAAAAATGGCAACTCCATGACACAGAAGTCATTTTGTGTTCTGCTTACAAAGTTGGAACTGTTTTGCTTTCTCCCAGAACTGTCAATATCACCAAAAAATGTTTGTCTTACACAGCAGATTGTTCTGAAATTGTACGCAAAACAAATGCACAACAGTGATTCCAACTTTGCAAACTGCAGAACACGAAATGCGAAGTCGCCATTTTTGTTTATGGTACTTCCTAGAGTTAGGACATGAGACATCCAATGTGAGTGGGAGATGTAACTCTGACATCTGCTCTATCGAGTGGCATATGATGCACACTTCTTGGACAATAAATAACATAATTATGGTAACTTAAAATGGTGGCATTCGTTTTGAAAGAATGTGTACATAATAAATACAATTAACCTGATAATTACTTCAAATATTGGACGAACAGCTGATTCCTTTAACTGTTTTTAATTATTAAATTTAAAGAGAGATGGCAGCGTAACCATCTACCTCCTTCCAAATTACTTAGTAATTATTTAGCCGTAATGGCCCAATAAAGGAATACGGCCATTTGTTTCATATTTAAATATACAGAAGAAAATTTAACTGGTCAGTACTATGTATGTGTACTAACAGGGATCTAGTTTTATACATACATTTGGAATAAGTATTATCCAATAGGATCTGAAATTCATACATCATTAATAAAAGCAAAAATTTTGCCATTTTTGTTTTCCTTATATAAATGATATGGTCAGAATTACTTTTATAAAGCTATGAGTTAAATAACAGTTCTGATTTAAGTAGATCTATACAAATTGATAAGATATTAAAATGGTTATTTGAAGTATATGATATGATTTCTTTTAATAGTATTAATCTTGCATATTTTGATTGATCTGTTGTTGTAGCCACCGAACAACAGAGGATTCGATGTTCTCTCTCCAGTAAATATTGGCACGAATCTTTTCCAGACTCTGATTTAATGCCTGGGCACCTGCTCCCACATTCACTTTGTTAAAAAATGTTTTCACCTAAAATAAATTAAAAAAAAAAAATATTCACATAAGATGTATATAATGCCGTAGCACAAATACAAAATTAACGCACCTCATTATAATCAAATCTTGTGCTGAAATGAGAGATAACTTCTGATATGATGACATCCATGGAGAAACTTCCCTGTCCGAACCTTCAAAAAGTAAAGAGATATGTGTTAGAGATTAACTACTTAAATTCTCTAATGAGCTCGTATTTATAAATTTAAGATTACATGTCTAGTAGCGTCGCCCAGTTTTCCCTCACAAATCTCCAAGCCAAAAGACGGCCGGCCGGATTGTGAGATACAGTTGCCAGTACAGATATGGTGTCTTGCGAACGTATTTTATCTCTGTTCAGAGAGTAATTCAGGTATCTGTAAAAATACAAAAGAACATGCTTCAATACCTCCAACAAAAAATAATAATCTTCTATTACTAATTGTTACATCATTTCTGTATTTGGTTTGATACTTCTGCTGCAGTTTTCAATGATTTTGACTCGGGCGAATAACGCGCTACAGTTTTTCTCAAACACTCGTCACTTTCCTTTTGAATGCTTCTACCCGCTGCAACAGTAGTTCCCTCTGTTTTTGTAATGCACAATACCATACGTGTCACCCCATTTTCCTTAAATACATTATACTTTTTGTAATCTGTCGGTTCTTTGTTGAACACCATGTATTTTTCCCAAGTAATTTAATGTTTTAGTACATTAGTACATAATTTAAAATTGTTTAGTCTCTTCTATAAAACTAGTAGCCAGGATGCCCCCTAGTGGGCGTTCTTTACAAATTCCCATGAGGCACGGTTCCTTTGACTTTTTTGTTCCTATCAATATGCTCTATAGCTCTGTTAAAGTCCCAATCGCTTCATACGGATCTAGATTTCTACCTATTAAACATTCTATAAATACTTTAAAATAGTTTAATTTGTTTATTTACCTTCGCTTGTAAACCTCGATTTTAAATGTATCCGCCATTTTTTCAACAAATTTCCTGTGAGTCAATGTGCGACGTTCACTGACTTGTGAGTCACGGGATGTTGTAAACGTGCTGCGCAAGGTTAATCACGGCATATAATAAGGCAAGGCTAGGCATGTAATAATTATTTATACCATTCTGTGGTATAAATAATAAATTCGTATTAATAATAAATTCCTACTCTAATAAAAATAATTTATTGTTAATTTAAAATCATTGCTAGGGTGCTTCTAGTGTCTGTTTTTGGTATACCGTTATGCAGACAGACACGCGTTCAATGGGTTAATTTAAAAATTAAGAAAAATCAGCATGTTTAATCAAATTAAATTTATTTTAACTTTTGAAAAATAGGATTAACAATGATTGGTTCTGCTCACAAGATATAAACACCTCAAATCAAAGCTTACTTATTAAGAACTTTGTGCCAAAGTTCTTAATAAGTATAAAAATTTAGAAGTACTGTAGTTACTTTACCGAGTACAGAAATTCTAGTAGTGGCAATGACAAAAATTACAATAATATATTCAGCAAATTATATCTCATATGGAGAATAATAACTTAGAAAAAATGATGAAGGTTTCAAGAATATTCTATGAGATGTTATTAATGCTGATTAAACTTCAATAAAATTTACATCACATCGATTTTACTCACTGAGAAAGTTGCCAGATGTCTCTCGTATTCCCGAGTGCGTTCAATAGAAGGCGTTTCTCTGAAGGGATCTGACTCTCTTGATATTTCTTCCAACAGAAGTCCCATTCTTCTTGGGTTCCGAACTTTACTCCGACTGTATAAACCACACTTCTCAAATCGGGATGGACTCTTTATCAAGAGAAAAGATAAACACGTGTAAATCTATTATAGATAAACTAGCATTATTAATGATAAACATACCAGATCTTTTGAAAGTTGCAAGCTTGAAAGTAAGTATCTGTTCTTATGTGTGTATTTGTTTCTATGACAAATATACAATTTAATATATGCGGCTTTCAAGATGCACTTTCACAAAAAGTGTTTTTATTTACATTTATGTATAAGCATCAAATGAGGAATGCTTTTTTTCAGTTTGTTGGGGACTAATACATATTTTTTCTGTTTTTCCACATTACCATATTATTTTATTCAAGTGTTAGAATGTCCAAATAACATCTTTTTTTAGGTGCATATACAGGATGCAGATATGAATGTATATCTCATGTCTGTTATGTAATAACAATAAGCAGTTACACTGGAGTATAGATAGTTGATAGTGAAGTGTTTGTTGGTTTGGGTACTTCCCTTCACGTAGTAGCAGATCCTATCTTTAATCCTAAAGGTAAATACAGTTTAAATTACAGTCATAGAGTGTCTTGAGACCAGTACAATACATTTTTGTCTGAATTTAGTTGCCTTACAGTCCTTAATTAATTATACTTTATTACAAATTGTCTATGTGGACATAACTTATTAATAGGACTTTATACCAGTGTATTGGTTATCGACACAAAGATGAGTTCATAATCAGAAAAATCAAAAAGTTTTCATTTTATAGAAAGAGAAGAATGGGGAAAAAAGTTGATGATAAATACAACAGACAAGCCCAATAAAAAGAATAGTTGAGTTGGGCATAAACTTTAATGGACCATCAATAATAATGACAGAAGATTTTGCAGTATTCACTGAACACCTATTATGGAGAATTCCAGAAGAAGAAAGAAACATAATAAGAAAAGGTATGCAAAACATTATACAAAATCAAAAACTAACCAAAAAAACCTTAGATAAAGTAAGAAATTATAAAAGACAATTGAGTGATGTAAATAAGTTTTTAGCAGAAAATAATTTAGAACTACTACAAGGAGACAAAACAAAACAAATAATAATTATGAAAATAGAGAAGAAGAAAGAAGTAATTACCGAGTTAATACAAGAAGGAGGATATAAATTATTAAAAAAAGACCCAAGTAAAAGCATGTCAAATCATGTGAATAAAAAATTGGAAATTTTAAAAAAACAAACATTAATAACAGAATAAGAATTTAAAAAAATAACACCAAAATTTAACATCAGAGTAAAAACATAAAAATTAAAAAAAAAAAAATTAGTTAAATCTGTTACAAACCTCTAATTACAGCCTTAAAAATGTAGATGAATTATTAAATAGGCTAAATAATGAAAATATTCTAATTAATAAATACATGAAATTAATGTCTTTAGATGTTAAAATATGTATCCTAGTATGACTAAAAGTAACATTTAAAACTCCTTACAGAAAATGTAGGCTCCAGATTGGATAATTAAATTATATTTGTTAGTAATGAAAAATAATTATTTCCAGTGTGATGAAAAATTTTATACTCAAATTGACGGAATTCCAATGGGAACATGCATAGACCCAAGACTTGTGCGGAGATTTTCATGATAAATATAGATGAAAAAATTAAAGACATAGAAGGAATAGAACTTTATAATAGGTAGGTAGACGATTGTATCATTATACACCAAAAAGCCATTACATTATGACCACCTCCCACCTAGAGGAGTAAGCTCGCCTGGAGACAAAACAATGGCGCTTGCATGGCTCATACTGCCATATATAAACAGCCAGTGAACTGTGTTTCCAAATGTAGAGTTTTCGGCTGTGTCATGGGAAAAGCAGCAGATTTATCAGACTTCGATAAAGGACAAATTGTTATGGCTAGGCACCTAAAAACATCAATCTCAGAAATGGCGCAATTGATGAGCTGTTCACGTACAGTTGTTATTAGTACTTATCAAAAGTGGTGTACAGATGGAGAAACAAGAAGTCGATTGACAGCTGTATGCTGTCCATGGTGCATTGATTCCAGAGGGGAGCGGAGACTATTATGCATTGTTCGCCATGACCAAAAGGCTACAATGGCCAAAATCACCAGCAACGACAACAGTGGTGACCAAGACAATGTGTCTCAGCACACAGTACAGCATACCCTTCTGCGTATGGGCCTGTGCAGCTGCTGACCCTACCGAGTCCCCATGCTTACAGCACGTCATCGACAACAGTGTCTACAATGGACCAGGGAGCATCGCAATTGGACCTTAGAGGAATGGAAGAAAGTCATCTAGTTCAACAATTCGCGTTTTCTGGTCTATCATATTAACGGTCGAATGCAGATACGCAGATTTCCAAAGGAGACCATAGCAGCCAGATGCTATGGCCTCCTTTGGAAGCACAATTGGACAGATACAAGCTGGTGTAGGTGGTATTATGGTGTAAGCGATGTTTCCATGGAACACATTAGAATCCATCATCTCCATAAAACAATCCCTGATGGCTGTGCATTATGTGAACATCATTGCAGACCAAGTTCAGTCCTTCATGGCAACAATGTTCCTGGCGGGAGATGGCCTATATCAACAGGATAATGCACCATGTCATAAGGTCCAAATCATCATGGAGTAGTTCGAGGAACATTCCAGTAAATTTCCAGTAAACATTCCAGTAACAAGTCCTTTATTGGCCTCCTAATTCACCTGATATCAATCCAATTGAATATTTGTGGTTCCATCTGGAAAACCAAATTCATGCTGCCACACGATGTTCGGAAACTGGAGGACAAGCTGGTGAGCGCTTGGTACCAGATACCTCAAACTACTTAACAGCACCTTGTTGAGTCAATGCCTCGCCATGTGTTGGCAGTTTTGTGAGCTGAAGGTGGCCCTATGTGGTATTAAACAGGAAGTCATGATGTGATGGCTCTTTGGTGTATTTGATAGTAAAAAGACAAATGAAGAATCAATTTTACAACAAGCTAACTTAATAGAAAAAATATACAATTTGACATTGAAAAAGGAAGAAATAATAGTGTTAATTACTTAGATATAACCATTGAAAGAAATGATAATAGTTTAGAATATAAAAAATTTGTAAAACCTATACAAATACCAAAAGTTCTCAATTACAAATCAAATATACCACAAACTATGAAATTTAATATTTTTAAAATGTATATTGATAAAATTAAAAATAGAACAAGTAAATTACAATATCAACAAATTGAAATAGAGCAGGTGATAAAGATGTTTTTATTTAACAGTTACCCGAAAAAAATACTTGAAAAATGGCTGTATTGAATTACTAGTAATGTAAATAAAAATAAAACTTTTTATAAAGATAAAAAAATGTATAAATTTAGTTTATATATCAAAAATGTTCGAAAGAGTTAAAACAGTTTTAAATGAAAAAGTAAATTTAATACCAGAACAGAATGATTTATTTAAGAGATATATCATAGGCCAGTTAATAAAACTGATATAATGGAAGAAAAAGAAATGGTTTATTCCTTTGATTGTAATTGCAATCCAGCCAACACATATATAGGAGAAACAAAAAGAAAACTAAAAATAAGAATAGGAGAACACATATGTGCAATAAGGAAAATTATACAAATTCTGCAGTAGCAGAACACTGCAATAATAATGGCTGTGAAATAAATTTAAACACGATTAAAATTAAGAAAAAAGAATCCAATAATTACAGAAGACAATTATTCAAACACATCTATATAAAGAGAGAAAGCAACAAAATAATAATTTAGTATGTATAATCCACCAATCCTGTGATAGCATAATCAATGACGTAAACCAGAAGGAAAAAAAGAGTATAAAAATCAATAGAAGAATGCATTAAGAGATGGTTAATTTATTAGTTTCATACGAACAACTTTTAATATAAGTTTACAAATAAATAATGCTAAACTTGTAATTTTAGAAATATAATTTTGTTTTACTTTGTTTTTAATACAGCAAAATGAATTTATGCACATTTGTTCTAATACTTATTCGAAATATGCTTTGGTCATACAGAAATTTCGTATCCAAATACTGTGCAAGTCTTTTAATGTTTTATTGTCGGGAAATTTATTGTTATCTACGCTATTGTATTTTAAGTTATTTACTCATTTATGGTATTTTAGAATGTCATGGTAGTAATACTACTAAAGAGGGGCATGTTAGCCTGAAACACATATGATATGTGTACAGGAAAAACTACTACAGGTGATAAAATAAAAAATTTTTGATTTTTCTGATTATGAACTCATCCTTGTGTTGATAACTTATTAACAGGACTTCATACCACTGTATTGGTTATGTCCACATGGACAATTTGTAATAAACATTTTTGTCTGATTTAAAATTCTCAAATGGGCTAGACACCATCAAATAAAAAGTGACAAGACTGTGCAAGGCTTTTCTGCAATTGTATTTGGTTGTTATGTAGCAGATGCAAGCTATATCCAAGTGCAATGTTTGTGTCTGACCCTATACAGGGTGAGACACAAACATTGCATTTGGATACTACTATATAATATATATTATATAATAGTGTGGTATAATTATCAATATATATATATATATATATATATTTCTTTTTAAATAAAAAAACGACATTATTCTATAATGTTTTCTTTCCTGAAAAGTGGTAGTCAGTCCACAGACTGGTGCTGATCTTTGTAGATCAGCACCAGTCTGTGGACTACCACTTTTCAGTAGTACTGATCTAAATGGTAAATTATAAGTAGATAATTTCTGAAAAATCATGAATGAAATTTAGACTCTGAAACTTAATTTAATCAAGTTTAATCGTCTAGGCGTTAATAATGCCTAGACGATAATTTTCTCAACTTGAAACTTAATTTAATTAAATTTCTTAAAATTCACAACCTTGAACAATTTGTAAGATTTATATTTATAATTTTAACAAAATATATACTTTTCACCCTTCTTCATCCAAATGTAAAATCTTTTCTTGGCTTCTTCGATGGTTTTTGAGTCACCGTACTTGACAGATGCAGAAAGAACCAACAGCCTCAATTTCCTGAAATATTAATTATCTTTTTGTATTAAAAAGATTCATTAGAAAATTATTATTGTAGAGGAAAGAGAAGTGAAATGATTTCTATAATACAAACATCACAATTTTTAAACTGCTATTTTTGGAAATAATTAGGTTTGCTTTGTATAAAATGAAATTATGATGGCAAACAGATTCCTATCTGTATGACTAATTCTATCAGAAAAATATTATATTTAATGGAATACATTAACACACAAAAATGAGTACAAGTGCTTTTGAAATTTCATCATACTGAATGCAAGCTGAAAAGTATTTGTTTTAAATAATCGGGAGACACTTTCTACAATATTTCAAATTTCTGTTCTAAAAAGAGCATATGATAATTCCCACACAAATAAAATACTTTTTTGATTAAAAATTCTTATAAAGTAACATTAACACACATTTCTAAAAAAAGAATTACTTTCTGAGATGTGGTTCGTTATTCTCCCATCTTACTGCTTTTACGATTGGTTTTAATAACTTCTGCATATAATTCTGTAAATTAAAAAATTAAGTTTTAGTAAGAATTTTATATTTTCATTTATAAAACTTAACTATTTTGACTCACTTGAAACAACAAATGTCCAGGACTTTCAAACATAAGGGCATCCAAAGTATCAAAATGTAATAGCGCAGTCTCCCACGGAACATAATCTTGTTCATTTAATAAATAAAGTGTCAAGTTCAGTGCGAGATCGCTTTTCAAACTTCCAACTCTGTAAAGCCATTTGTAATTATTACAACTGATTCAATTCCAATAATAAACAAAAAAATATAAGATTTTTGTCAAACCTTGCAAGAGTGAGAGCGTCATCCAACAAGTTTGATCTGTCTGCAGGATAGAGAGCCTAAAAAATTAATTCAAGAAAACATTCAATAAACTAAACATAAAATATTACAACATGTCCAAATAAATCTTACTGTATGATTCGTCTGAAGGATCCCAATTAATGATTTCCACATTTCGTCGTCGTACATGACACGATAAAATCCGGTCTGATTCACATTCAATTTTAACCAATTGTAATGTCCAGATAATTGAAATGATGCTTAAGAAAATAGGTTATTAGTTTCAATTAGATTAATGAAAAAATAATACTTATTTTGACTATAATGCAGAGGTTTCCAATATATGGTCTGCGGGTCAAATAATCCTCCAAGCCATATTTTATTGGCCCCGTGAGGCTTGTTTTCACAGGTGTGTTTTATCAATTTATCAATATTTGAACTAGTTCAAAACATAAAATTTGAAAAGTCAAACTAGCATTAGTGGCCCTTGCTGCAAATGATTTTTATAAAAATCTATTTAAAGAAGGGATTTATTAATTTTTTTCTAAATTTCTGCAAGAAGAGAAGTTTAAAAGTCTTACAAAGAGTTTTTACAGAAGATATTTTCTATTTTTATTTCTATGTATCCGTGCAAACAAATCTTTTCAAAAACGAAATGTATAAAATCAAAATATTGAACACCACTGTGTGACAAATATCTAATGCAGATTTTAATATTGGGTGCAACAGAATTTATCCTCAATTTTAATGAAACAGTTGTAAATTTCACACTGATATTCAGAAATAAAAAAAATGTTAATTTTTGATTTTATCTTTCATACCTGGCCCTCAGACTTGTCTTTTTGGCTCATGTGACCCTTCTCAAAAAAAATCTGGAGACCTCTGGTAAAAAGAAATATATAAATTTATTACACTTACATGTCGTGGTGTTCAGCCAAATGTGTTTGATTTTGAAGGACTGATCGGTTAAATATGTGAGAGGAATATACCATATATAACTGTATGGAGATAAATCTTGCTGATTGGTTTCATCGCTCTCAGCCGGACTCAAATGAAATCTAGCCTGACTGACGGTGATCTTATTTTTACTTCTCGACACCGTAACTAATGGAAATCCCTTTTGACGAGTCCAAGTGTCCATAATTTTTGATACATTCAAGTTTGATAACTTGGCTGTCACCTATTCATAAGAAGTTAGATTAAATTGTTAATCTTATAAACTGTTAAAATTTGTATATTTTTACATAACTTTCTTATCCCACTTGAAATGAGTGTGAAACTCAGCTTGTAATAACAGTTACTGTTATTGACAAATGTTTTATCATCACAAAAATAAAAAAAAAACTTGTAAGTTACATAAAATTTTTTCCTGTGTTTTTTCCAAGTCAATTACATTGGTACCTCACACTTTGAATAATTTTAACTTTATAATTTCAGAGTATGAATGCTAAATCTGAGAGAAATTTGATCTGAAGTTCAAATGAAGTTTTTATGTTTGAACTTGTAGTGAAAAAAACATGCTTCTGAATGAATGCCATCTATTGCGTGCCCAAGTTGTCTCTCAATCTCTCTGAGAAGGCATCTTGTATTACGCTTGTGTTTTTAGTCCTTTTTTGCTTCATTTTTGCTGTTTGGTTATTAATTTACCTCTTGGATGCCGCAGTTAATCCGTATCTATTAACCGTGGAATCCAAGAAGTGTGTAGATGCAACAAAGCTTAAGAAGTGTAGTATCAAAATTGGGATAAAAAAGAAACTTAATGTGAAGCATGAAAGCAACACATGTGGAGGATCTGGTAGCCATGTTTAAGATGCCAAAGTTGATTGTGAGTGACCAGTAGATCCAATTTTTATTTTATTAAAACACAAAAAACAATAAATAAGTAACTGTTTTTGTGTTTTCATTTATTATTTAGGGCATTTATAATTGTGTTATTTTTACCTTAAATTATGGGTATTTGGTATTTAAGTTTATTGAAATGGGGTTTAGAGTCTGAAATGGATTAATTTGCTTTCCATTATTTCTAATGGGAAAAATTGATTTCGAATTCAAACAATTTGCAGTTCAAATTGCCTCCCAAAACAAATTAAATTCAAAGTACAGGGCACCACCGAACACATGTGTGCATTATAATGTTATAAAAAAAATATTTAAAATACCTCTGTGAACGTATCCCAGAGATCTTTGGTTCGAGCATTCTTAAAACGATATTTGCTCAAATAATGTGACAATCCTTGCTGAAGAATATCCATTCCAAGAAAATTTTCCAACATGTGTATAATTGATGCTCCCTAAAATATAAAAATATGTTAATTACAACAAAATTTTAATAAATTAGAAAGTAACAATTTCTATAAAGCTAGCATCAATCACTGTTTAAAGAAGAAAGAATAAAATGAAAGGATATTAGTCATTATTATTAATCTTTTTTAAAAGTATATGGGTTATATAACTGCATATTTCATCTGATTATTTTAACTCTCAATTATAAATTCAATCAGCAACTTTTTCTCTGTGAAGAAATAGAGAAAGATAACCTGCATGTGTTTTATGTGCAATCTAAATTTGGTCATACATGTACCATACATTAAATTGTTACATCAATTTGTGGCACTGTATATAACTAAAAATTAATAGTTTTTAATTATATCAGTGGTATATTGTTATATAGTGGTATAAACTCATGGGATATTGTTGTGAATGTGTGCCACATCGTATTTTACTTAGAGTTCAAATGTGGTGGTACACCAGTATATTTTGTTGTTTTTATTTTATATATGTATATATAAGAATATTCTATTCCCTTTTCTCTTTGTTCTGTTTCTATACTTTCTGGAACTTTCGTCTGAATGTGGGTGGTCAGTGACCCAATTTCGGGACAAAGGAGTGAAGATAGCCCAGAGGGCAAGTGGGGGACGATAAGGACACTTTTGGCTNTGTATATATAAGAATATTCTATTCCCTTTTCTCTTTGTTCTGTTTCTATACTTTCTGGAACTTTCGTCTGAATGTGGGTGGTCAGTGACCCAATTTCGGGACAAAGGAGTGAAGATAGCCCTGAGGGCAAGTGGGGGACGATAAGGACACCTTTTGGCTTTGGACCGAAGGAGAAAAGACCGTCGGAGAGAGCGGTCTCGAGTTCGGTGTTGCTTCAGCCGGAAAGGTTACGAAGAACACTAAAGAAAGAAGTAACATTGGAAGAGAAAAAGAACATTGGAAAAGCCGAGATTTAAGAACGAACTTTGGGTCCTCGCATGTGCTCCGTCCCCATAGAAGAAAAGAATTCCAAGATGAAAGTCATCTTGTGGCCACCACCTCAGTCAACCATTCGGGTACCCGTTCCTTACTAGGAATTTCCATTTTATTCTCCCATTCTATTCTAATTCCTGTTCTTCCTTTCCTCTTCTAGTTATAAGTAGTTTTAAGTTAGTGATTAAGTGTCTCCTTTGTTACGCGAAAGAAGAGTTTAGCTCCGCTGTAAATTAAAAGTCGGTGTTGTTTGTTCCCTTTTGTTTAATTAAAGTGAGGAACAAGGAGGTCGGAATCAACGAACCTTTCCTGTATATATGTTCAAACAGTAAAATAAAGCACGTCTTATTGTTTATATTCCTGTCTCTTTGTGAGAACTCATTCATCACCACGTGCTCACCACACAAACATCAAACTTGTGCTTCTGCTTGCCATACAAGTTTAACATTTGAACGATGGCCACAACCTCTGTGATAAGTCAAATTTAATTTTTATGGTGGTTAACCAATTCACAGACTATCCCATACAATGGATTAGTGGCAATAACAGCAGCAGCATTACCTAACACTACAAACAAAAGCCTCATTCAGATAATATATTTGAATATAATTATATAAGATACATCAATGAATTTATAAAAATATCCTTTTTCTGTAAAATCTTATAAGTATTATCTTTCAGTCATGGTAATTTTGCCTAAACAAACAATGTAGAAGATACACTGGTTAATATTGCTCTTTTAGAAAAAAAAAAAAAATCAAATTTGTTGAAATAAAAATTAAGGCAATCTTACTTTTTTGTAGGAGATCACATCAAAAATTGCTTCGATCTCTACTGGATCTTTGACTTCTACCATTATAGGATGAGAACTTCTTAAACTATCTAAAGCTAATGCATCTTGTGTGGTACTTACAAACTGCTCCATCTGTAGAGGAAAAAAATATAGAATGTTCTAAATATTAAAAGGTAAGTAATTTTTTTCTGAAAGCATTTATGAGTGACATTCAAAAAATAAAAGCATGTAAAAAACATACTGCAACACTACCTTTAAGACTAAGAGGAGAAAAAAATGTTAAAAGCTTTACCAGAAGTTCTTTTATCTTTATTCAATTGTATTTATTACTTTTTGTTTTAACTCTTTCCATCCTGTGGGCACAAAGACGGCCTGGCTGAGTGGCGAGAGACCTGATGTATTTGGACAGACCATCCCAAAAAATTCCCGGAGGTTTTCAACCAATCTGGATAAAATCCATGGTTCCTTGGAGTGGTAAACAGCCACCTTAACCACCCGGCCATCTATATTTATTGCTATGATCAACCTTGGTATAATGCATTTAAGATTTATGTATGATATATATTGTCATTCTGTAAATTAAAATACTTTTTGTTACTTTAAAGCTAAATCTACAATTTTTATCCTTACAGGTACGATTTTTTTTTAAAGCTAAATCTGGCACTGTTTTGAAGAAACAACTGGCAACATTTATTTTTGTTTACCTCATATTTTATTCAATGGAGAAATAATAAATTTTAGTTGATTTAAAAAACAAAATTCCTTTTTTCTTCATCCAACCCACATCGGAAAGATTGCAGATTATCCAGCTGAAGTGTGTAGAATTTCCACTGTGTGAGCACAGTTAGATGGAAATTATAGATCAATTGTTACAAATTTGTCCCATTCAATACTGGGAACATAAACCTGACATTAATACTTCATATATTCACTCCCAACTCCCCTTCACGGGTTATCAGATAACGAGTTGTCTTCACCTCCGAATGTTTTGGTATGCACAATACATCATTAAGTATGCACAATACTTAATGATGACTTAGATAACTGTACCTTAATTTCAGTTCTCTATTCTCATTCTCCCTTTTCCATTAATTTGAATATTCTTTAAATTCTTTAATGCATTATTAAAAAAGGGGGTGTCTGATCTTTTTGATATGTATGTATATGTTACCAGCCAAACCCAATTTCAGGCCAAACTAGTTTATCCTACACGTGTCAGGATATACTAATTTAGTCTAGGGCAATCTAGTTTGACCTAAATACTTTAGGCTTAACTACTTTGTCCTAGGCCGAACTGATTTAGAATTATTATTTAAGTCAGGCCTGACTAACTCAAATTGTTTTGCGGGCCACTTTGATCAAGCGTAGCATTACAATGGGCCACAATTTAGGCAAACATGCTTTTAAAAAAGTAAAACAAATACAAAATGAATAAGATTTCATTGTTATACCAACAGTTTGTACTCTCACTTGCGCATTATCACAATGACACATGCAAATTTTCATTTATTTAATTGTTTTGGCATACTCAAAACGGAAAACAAAAGTTTTAATAGATATATAATATCACTTAGTGTGCTACACAATTTAATGTGACGGGTCGCGGGTTGGCCAGGCCTGATTTAAGTATATTAATGGTTAAAATAAAATTAAAAGGCAATCAATTAGATGAACAATATTTATTCAAACATAGTCTACTTAATTATAAAAAACGGTATTGATTAGAAGTGACACAACACTTGTACAAAACTATAAAATAAAAATAAGCTAATCAGTAAACTACTTATAAGTTTGTATTTTTTTTTATTAAGCCATGCACTTTTAAAAGTAATTAACTTTCGAGAATATTTTCAAAAATTCAAACGAAATAATAAAAATAACTTTTAAAGTCACTCTAAAATTAAAAAAGAACTTGTTTGTGTTTCTTACTTGTTAGTGTAACGTATAAAATATTTAATCTTTTATTTATTTTTACAGGGTGGGTTATATTGTATCTAGGTAATCCCAATGGCAGCACTTCAGGCTGTTCGTGCTCCCGGCAGACTCCTCCTGGGCCCTTAGTCTCGAGTTTTTCGTGTTACAACTCCCAACGTGTTGAAGGTGTCACGTGGTACCATCTCACACACTGACGTCAAATTGGTAGTCTCGAGTTCTAACTCACGTGCTTTCCCNTTTTTTAAATAAAGTATTGGAGGTCTCCATTTTCTTTGTCTTCTTTGTCGCTATAATAAAAGTAACTGCAACACGTGCAAACTAAGGCGCCTTAGTGTAAACTAGTTTACGTTTATTTGTTTACAACTTGTTACACTCAAATTGATTGGTCGAATCAGTATAGTCGCAAACCCAGATGCTTTGTAAATAATCCCATCATGCTTCACGACAAACGGGACCAAGTGAGTATGACGTATTTCCGCTCGCCTTTCGAGTTCGCTCGATGGGTCTAACTCGAGACTACCGATTATGTGAGTCACAGTAACACGAGTGAGTTCGATGACGTCAATTCGAGTACAACTCGAAAAACTCGAGACTAAGGCCCCTGGAGGGGAGCCACAGGCAGGCTGCCCATTGTTTAACATCACTAGTTATTGATTCACGACAGTTCTTGAACAAAAGAAAAAAAAGGAAACGTCTACTAAACATGTATTGATAGTTAATCTAACCAAATAAACCTAATCGAAATACCGCTATTGGGGTTACCTAGGTACACTTTAACCACTGGGTGTACTGTAGTGGCATTTCGAATTACACAAAATAATTTTTTTTTTACACTGGCACCTATTTGTAGTACATAAATCAGTTTGGCCTAAATCAAACTAGTTAAGCCTGAAGTATTTAGGCCAAATTAGATTATCCTATGCTAAACTAGCATATCCTGACATACATAGGATAAACTAGTTTGGCCAGTAACATATTTATGTATGTATATCCTAGTGGTGTGCAATCCTTGGGATATAGAATCCCCACTTCCTGTTCCCACATGTGCTTTCTCTTTATTCACTAGTCCTCCTTCAACATTCTCCACAACCCTCTTGATGGTAAGGTCTAAATAGAAGAAAAATCCCAAGGAAGAGATGGCCACCCTGATGTTATTGTTCTTATATCCTTGCAATCAACATCTTTACTTTTCCACCAATCAGGGTGCATTCTTGACAATGGCACAGTCAGACTTACTCAGATGCTTACCTCACAGGACAAGACCATTATGGCTTCCAGAAATAAACGTGTAATAGGTTTTATAAAACCACTGGGTGAGAATAATACAATTGAACAACACAAATCTGGGATCAAAGTTTCTAAATTTTTTCCTTGCTTTATCCAAAATGGGATGGATAAAGCTTGAATTTCTGAATATTCCAAATGTTTGAAGAGTTATTTTTTTTTTAATAAAAACATAAAGAAATATAAACATCTATTAACCAAACTTTTAGATTAATAACAAATGATTGCTGATTGCATCAGGCTATGATAACACTACTAATTACTAATTAGATGTCAATAATTTGGCCTAGAGGTAAGCATTAGGCACCATCTGTTAATAAATTTAATAACTATAATCAAATTTGTATTTTAATAATTAATGTAGAAGGTTCTGGAAGAAAAGAGTCGGCCCAGAGTGGAACTTGAACCTGCAATTAATAGTTCTGAAGGAGAAGATTGGATGGAAGACCAGGTAGTGTAACTAGCAACATGTCCACACAGCAAGAGAGAGTCGCAGGTTTGACTCCTGCTTTGAGCATATTCTTTTCTTCCAGAACCTTCTAAATTAATTATTAAAATACTAATTTAATTACAACTATTAAATTTATTGAGAGATGGAACCTAACGCCCGCCTCTAGGCCAAATTACATGAAAATTAATAATTAGTATATTAAGAAATGTCTAAATATCGGCTCTTTATTGACCGAAAGCCCAGAAGATCAAATAGCATTTGATCGGAAGGGAAATTCCATTTGAATACTAAAATCATAAATTTAGGTTTTTGTATCAAATTAAGCTTACAGTTTGACAATATCAGAATATCTGAAGTAATATATCTATATCTTACCATTTTCCATTCGGGTCTCACAGAGTTAGTTCCCAAATATTCCATAAAACTAGCAAAACCTTCATTAAGCCACAGATCGCTCCACCAATCCATTGTTACAAGATTACCAATCCACTAAAATATATAAATTACATGATATTAAATATTGTTTAATATAGTCGTTAGTTATTTTATAGTTTTCATTTAAGATAGTTCAAAACATAACTGTATATACATGACTTTAGTTTAACTAAATCTATGACTCAAAATTAAAGTATATCAAGTAGCACTATAAAAATTTTATACTGCTACTTGTTCATTAAAATAATATTGAATGATTTATAAACGGGCATTTGAATTGCCACCAGAAAAACGTTTTCACTTTTGGTAAGCTATAAAAAGAAAATACAATACATTTATTATAATATAAACATGCGGATTGAGGGAAAATTCTGTAATTTGTTATTCGGATATCATTTGAAATTTTTTTAATCATCACTGTAATAGATAAGATCACATGTAGTGTCTTTTTTACCCCCCAAAAAGAGGGACAAATTATCTAAAATAAAAAAAACAATTGTATTCATCAATCACCAGTAGATCAATACACAAGGTAGAGAAGATGCTACATCAATAATAAACAAGCTTATCTGATGTAGGGATCTGTAACAGGAAAAACACTCTAAATCAAGTGATAGAAGACTTAAAATATAAACAATGAATGAATGAACCTCTTTATCTGACAGGAAACCAGATAAGTCATTCATATCAACCTCATTCAACACATGCCCATCAATAACATGGGACACCCTTTCTTCTTTTATTAAATTTACATTTCTATCATGAGCTTATATCATGTGACATGCCCAAAGATCCGGTAAAACCTCAAGGAATAAATAACGGGAACGAGTTTAAAACACACAAAACCTAACTGTTGTCTACTAAAACGGATGTCGATCTTATCGCAGAGACCAAAAAAGATGTAAAAAGAATCAACTTTACAAAGATAGTTGCTTCAAGTCTGATAAAAAACCAAAGAAAAAAAGGCCGTAACGTAAAAAAGGCTGATACACATAAAGTTGCCAACGTTCTGTCCTGAAAACCATCTGAACAGACCTGAAATTCCCCTAAAACTAACAGAGTTTCTCCCTAAAAACTGAAACAAGCTCCCCCTATATAGTTTTGCTCCAGGTAACAAGCATATTAGAAAAATATTAGTCTTTTGACAATCCAGATAAACACAAATTTTCACTTTAGTGTGGGCACAGATGAGTAAAAGCTTCATGTGATGAGGAGACCTGCTCCAAATCTGGTGCGAGAACAGCAATGAGTTACATGACTTTTGGAAACTCTTGTCGCTGAACCTGCACTAACCAATATGGACAGGCTTGACATTTTCCCCTAAATTCCTCATTCTGTTGATTTTCCCTAAATTCAAGGGAAATCCCTAAGTTGGCATCACTGGATGCATGTGCTTTCACAAAACGAAATCTTTCTGTATATTCAGAAGAATTTTTATCCATAGACAAAATAGGCATGCTCCTATGGTAGCAAATTTTTACAGGTGACATAATTACCTGATCACAAAATGATTTAAACATTATATTAAAAAATTAAATTATATTTATAGACAGGGTGATTCAACACTACACTATCTGGAACCTGTAACCAGTGTGTGACGTGTATATATTGTATACTGCTGTTGATGAATGTCTTCGAAGAATCTCTTTGCTCTTCTTCAGATCAACTGGAATTCTTTGGACAGAGTGTATTTTATTTGTTGGGATCAGATGTCATTTTGACAAAGTGGGTCCTTTCTGACATGCATGGTCGTGTGTTGGAGGGGGAAGTTGGCATCCAACAGTGATTGCCAGACCAGAGAGTCAGCTCCTCCTCCTGGTTAAGGCATGTGGTTACCCGGCTGGCATTGTAGATAGCTATGGCCTCTAGCCACCTGAGATGCTCCTGATGGAGTGTGTTGACTATAACGGTAGCTTTTTGCAAATTGCGCCTTGACCTCGGGATCCGACGCATACATGGTCAAGGCTGTAATGAGTCTCCTGTGTCGGATATCTGCCTGGTGTTCACACAGACAGGTATTCAAGGAACATTTAGTCGAACCGATTATTTTAATTCTGTTTTATTAGATATTTTATGTAATATTTTTAAAAATCGTATCTTTTAGCTGACTGATGAGGGGCTTTATGCCCGAAATGTGCTGTTGTCACATATCAACTAAACAGTGATGGAAATAAAACCAAGTGTTTATTTATAACCCACATTTGAGTTCGAAGTCCAATATATTTGCAAAACACAGTTTCAAAAACAACATATTAGGTTAAGGTCAGTTGTAAGTAGTTTAGTTTTAATCGAAAATGTATGTAATCAAATTTTTGTTTGGAAAAATCTGAACGAGAGCAGAGACCTTGTAAATATATGTGTAATTTCGTCTCTGTGACAGGCATCAGTTCTCTGTTAAATAATTCAGCTAATAAAACTGCTCATTCCTTGTGGCTTGGTCGTATTATTACGTGTTCTACTGTGGTGTATCCCACCATGTATATGTATGTTTTATTCAATAATATTCGATGTTATCTATAATTTCCTCTTCTACGTAAATAACCTGCACTATTTTTCCTTGTTTGACTCTTCCGACCTATATACTCTTTCTGGCTAGTTTTGGGCTGAAAAGGGGCAACAACAGACAAGGCAGCGTAGTAGGACTTTACTTTCTTATTCATTCTGGGAGAAGCAAGCGAGGTGAGAACCACATGAGGACAGAAGGGAACGAGTCCATGAAGTCAGGGAGTGTACGTTGGAAGATTGCCCAATTTGTCATACAGATAAGGGGGATTTCCTTCTAACTTAACCTTTCTATACCTTTTTCTAACCTAGATTATCTTAATTTATATTTTAAGTTAAGTTAGTATAAGTAGTATTATAATATGGTCACAACAGAATGTGTACTGATCGGCTTCGGGACCAGAGCACTTGGAACCGGATACACGAGCTTTGTTAAATAGAGAAAAAGAGGAATGATTTTGTATCATAGATGGTTTCAAGATCATGTATTAAAATTAATTTGGAGATAACTGTAAATAAATAATTTCCTCCATCTTTACTTGAAATTTGTGTTAATACATGGTGTATTCTTGTATAATATGGTTTTTCATTAACCCGTCACACCACACTACATTCGAACCTTTCACAAATGGACTGGTGTATGAGACACCCCTGTTTAAAGGGATGATGACCTTGTACATCTCTCTAGCTGCTTCAGAAGTCCAAGACATGCCAGGAATTTTTCAAAATGTACTTGATTCCATGGACTGATGATGTCGAGCCTATGTCACAGTTAAATAGTTCGTAGTCACAAATTTGAACACCTTCTGTAACCACAATGCATTTTGAAAATGTCTCGCGAGTAATAAAAAGCATTTTGCTCTCTTATGTGCTACTCTTTCATTTATCATCCTCTCTGTACACTAGTGCACAAAGGTGGCATTTCTAACTTGACATTGCTATTAATATACAGTATTTAAAAAATGGCTGCAAAATGCCAAAAACACCTCAATGCATATTGTTTTTGCTAAAACACAATACACACAAAAAATTGACAATAAATTAGAAATAAATTTATTTCAGTTCAATCATATTTTGTATAAAACTTCATTGCATTAATAAATACCAACAGATCTAACCTGATGAGCCACTTCATGAGCAATAACAATGGCAACATGTTCCTGACTTTCAGAAGACGATTCTTCGGGATTGAACAGAATCGTGGTCATTCGATAAGTAATTAATCCCCAATTCTCCATTGCACCGGGTCCAAAATCAGGAATGGCAATCATGTCTATAAGAAATAAATATATTAAATAGTTATTATATATTAGTATTCTTGGTAATGATAAGTTTAAGTCTATTTTAAATGCGCAATACTAAATTATTGTTTTAAAACCAAAACCTATGCTATTATAATTTTAAACAACAGAGTTCTGAGTACAATAGGTGACTTTATTGCTATGTACAAAATTACTTGAAACCAATAGAATAATAATACAAAAGTATTAATAGTTCTGTTTTACTTAAATCTCATACAAATAGATCTTAGTGACTGTAAAAAAAGGCAATGCATGGGAAGATTATTAAGCAAGATCTATAAACAATATATTTATTGTAGTTACATTAATTATTACCCAAAATGTATGTGATGTACATCAATTGATGACATAACTGTCCAAGTTTTGTTTCCCACCTGCATTTGAACATCATTTTTGTCTACCATCTCTAAGAAGCACCATAAACAAAAATTGCAACTCCACAACAGAGAAAGCATTTTGTATCATGAAGCTCGCAAATCAGAATCATTTGTCATTGTTCAATGTAAGTAATCTAGAATTACAGTCACCGTGGGAGAAATGATGATGGATGTGCCGTAATGAATGTAGAATTTGAGTTAATCAGTAGGATCCACGTTGTGTGACAAGAGGTGCAGACATTGAGAAATCGTAATGGGCAAATATGAAACTTGTATGGTTTTCCAATGTTTTAATTACATTACATCAATCTTGGATAATAATTAACATAATTACAATAATTTAATATGGTAGAATTCTTTGGAAGATGCTGTATTTTGTAAACAACTGTTAAAAAAATTTTTTTTATTATATCCGTTACGAAAATAATGATAAATTTATCTGCTTATATTACAGTTTTTGTGCTATCATACACAAACGTTTTGTAGGGCTTATCACACTGGCACAATTTACTACGAGGAGTTTATTAATCAATAATATACACTTTTAAATTACATTAACATATTACTTGCCATTAACATGAATCCAAAATGCATTTTTGTCCTATTTGGTTCCTCTTCAGTTAGATATTATTTGGTGATTAAACTTTTAGAAAAATGTACTTAGACATTATTTGGCAATTTAACTTTAATTAAGTAAATTTTTCTATAAGTTTAATCATCAAATAATATCTAACTGAAGAGGAACCAAATAGGACAAAAAAGCATTTTGGACTCATGTTAATGGCAAGTAATATGTTAATATAATTTAAAAGTGTATATTATTGATTAATAAACTCCTCGTAGTAAATTGTGCCAGTATGATAAGCCATACAAAACGTTTGTGTGTGATAGCACAAAAATTGTAATATTAATTAATGGAAAGGGCAATGGCAAGAAAAATTAATAATAATATTTGCTTACATTTTTAAGTCTGATACAAGAAATCATTTAAGATCAAAATATAATTCTTTAATATTGGCTGGGAACTGTGCATTACCTGAACAAAGCTCTGGCATTTTTAAAAAAAGCATGAAGTGGTGACATGAAATATGCTTCAGGCCCTGTTAAATTCACATAATCTGTACTCTTCACACAATAACAGAGATTTACCCTTGCTAGTGCATATCACAGCAACCAGGCTAAGATTTATGAAACATACAACAAAAATCATAAAATCACTGGACAGTTGTTGAGGAACTGAGGTGATTAAATTGCTTAACCATGTACCAGAATTTTAGCCCTTCCTTAGCCAAATTTGCATATAACTGCCAAAGCAGTCCTTTGTTAGTTACCTTCCATTTCATTTGGCACCAAACATCTGCAACAGGTAATAAGTTCAGGCTATTTCCAGGCCAGTGAGCATATGGATATGCTTGTCTCCTGGCCAGTTTTGTAAGTTAGGCCAAATGCAGTGTTCTTTTATCATCATAAAATACACAAGGATGTTGCACAAAGAATTTGTCATAAAGGTGCAGATAGTCAGGGCCCGCTCTAGGGGCAGGCAACCCAGACATTTGTCTGCGATGCCATTTTGGCTGTAAGTGTGAGAAAAATATTGATGTGTTAAATACTCAATTAATAGAAAATTTCACGTATCGATTTTTTCGTTCTCTAAGAATTTACAGTGTGTATCGTATTTATATTGTTTATGTCTAAAAGCTAAAAATATTTCACTATTATTGAAAAATTAATGCAGAATTTGTAAAGGACGATGCTTAAACTTGTTTGAACACGCATATACTTCTCTGAACAGAATAGCATTAGCATGCGAGAAGAGTGCTGCTTCAGCTTGTGTTTGAACATGCATAGACTCGCTTATACTTACCTCTAATTATGAAAGAGCGGTGTCATTACACAATAGCATTACTCTTGCTATTACGTCGGTAGTGATAACAAGTGGAAGTTCATAAAATTTACTTAAGTGCCATTTCTTAATTTTTAAAGATAAGTAATATAATATCAAATAGTACCCAGCAAATCACCAAACAGATAAATAACACCTTATCCTTGCTGAGAAATATATTTATGTCAAAAACAAACGTTTTCAGCCTGGTCTTCAGGCCATCCTCAGGTTGAGAATGAAATTGGAACTAAAGCTTTCTGCAGTATCTGCACTTTTGGGCAAAAAAGAAAGCCTAAGCAATATACTGAGCTTAATTACAAAATTAAATTTTGCCCTAAATCTTACTATTCCTTTAAAAATATTGCTAACAATACCAATAACTGTAGCAAGTGGAGAAAGGAGTTTCTCTAAGTTAAAATTAATTAAGAACTTTTTACGTTCAACTACTACACAAAATTGTCTTAATGGTTGGCAATTGAGCATGAAATTGCTGATCAAGTAAATTTAAAAGATGCAATAAAAAAACTTTTCAAAACTGAAAGCAAGAAAAAAGTTTTTTGTGATTTTAGCAGAGTTGATGTTAACTTGTTTTATTTTCAAAATAATGGCATTTTGATTGTTTGTGCAATAATACATTTTTAATAGCATTTAAAAATGTAAAAAATTATATGATTAACAATTAGTGGCTAGGTACAGATATTTCTTAATTAATCTCTACTGTTTTGTACTGCTTGATTATCGATGTTATGTTATATGTTTCTTTCTAAATATATGTTTTTATTAAAATTTAAATAAAATGATTTGTTTTTTATTGAAAATAAAAAATATGTACCTTTATTTAAATATATATATATATATACACAGTGGTGATATTCAGCGGGTTCGCACAGGTTCGGCCGAACCCGTTGTTAACATTTTCAAAGTTTTCCAAACCCGTTGTTAAATACATGTAACGTTTCTCAGTGGTTTTGTTTCTTTTAAAAAATATATTAAAATATACGTATTATACTCTGTAACACTACTAGAGCCTTATACTATGTTCGCCTGGTGCAATCTCCATTGACCATGCGATTGAACCTCGTTTCAGTCGAGATTGAAACGAGGTTCAATCACAATCGACTCGAGAGAGTTCTCGAAACTAGATCCAGTCATAAGAGAGATCCCACAATCCCACGCGCGCGAGAAAATACAAGATGGCTGCGGAACACGTGTCGGGCTATCAACAGCGAAATAAGAAAGATATTGTATTTCGAGAGACGATGACATCTGTCTATTATTATAATAATACCTAACGATAAAATAAATGATTTAGAAAAAGTTTTTCTTGTGTAACTGCTTTCCCTATGACTTTTTCTGAATTAAAAAAAAGCCAATTTTTATGTTTATATAATATTTTGAATGAAAAATATTAAAATATGTACAAAATAAACCATTTTGAACACTCTTTTTTATTATTTATTTAAAAAAATATAGTTCGGGCATAAACAATGTTAAATTTTAACTGACTTAATTTTGCTAACGCATCTTTTTTATTTATATGGGTATCTTAAGGTCAGGTTTTGCGCTAATGTTGCTAATGCAGCATTTGAGCGAAAAAAAAATTGTGAAGGAAAAATATTAAAATATGTACAAAATAAACCATTTTGAACACTCTTTTTTATTATTTATAAAAAAAATATAGTTCGGGCATAAACAATGTTAAATTTTAACTGACTTAATTTTGCGAACGCAACTTTTTTATTTATATAAGTATCTTAAGGTCAGTTTTTTTGCGCTAATGTTGCTAATGCACCATTTGAGCGAAAAAAAAAAATTGTTAAGGAAAAATTTTCTGTTAGCGAACCCTTTGTTAAATATTTCGAATATCACCACTGTATATACAACATATATGTAAGAACATATATATATGTTCTTAAGGGGTGGCAATTTGTCTTTTTGTCTGGGATGACGTAACCGCTAGAGCAAGCAGAGATAGTGCTCTAAGATTTGGATATAGTATTGAATTTTAATGGTGTTGTCACAAAAGAATAAGGTGCCAATGCAATTAGTGTTCATATAGGCCTAAATCATTAAAAACTGTGGCTTTTGCACCTTACATACATAATAAGAAAAATTTTTTCTTTGTCCTTAGAATGAATGACATTCTTGGCAATTTCACCATACTTAAAAGTGAAACTTGAACATATCAGATCAACAGTGATGTGCCGTCATTGGAAGCCGTGGATGCGCTGCTTCCCCTGTATTTTCTAAAAAATAAATACACATTAATTTTAATTATATGAAAATAATCGCACAATATTTTATTATAACCGCATTATGTATCTTATTACAAATTTCTATACTACACGTGAAAAAAAGGTAAGATTCCTATTGTATATTCGAATATTAGTGGCAGAGTGGAAGCGCTGTATTGTCAGCATCCAAAAAGCCAGATTTGCGCATGCGCTTTACAGAGCACCAACCTCACCTGGTTTAGCTGGTGGAAGCCTACAACCTTGTGTTGATGCTACACGTATACCAAATCCAATTCTATCCAGGACCGGTTCAGGGCTGTTAGCTGCCTGCCAGCTAGATATTTGGTCGTCCTCGCCCGATTACATGAATCACGAGTAGATTTATAACTTAACCCAACCGATAAGAATTTACTGGTATATTTTTACGATAGTTCTGTATAGTTGACAGGAGTTAAAAATTTCCATTGAAATATTTGATATTTTTATTCCGCTCTCCGATATTATATTACTTATGGATTTCAATGTTAAACCAGTGATATTACGATTTTGTATATCCCATCTTTAAGGGGATGCAGAAAAAACGTGTACAATGTTAAAAAATTAACTGTTACTTTGACAGCATCATTTACAACTAAATTTAATGAATGAGATGCACGCGGTACAGAAAAATCTCTAGAATTTATATTCCTTAAATTTATGATTTATGTACCTGTTGTCAGAAAAATTTGTCTTTCCACTTTTTTCCCGAGACTATAAATATTCGAGTACAAAGTAACCGGTTTCAACTTATTTCTACTTAAGTAGTAGTTAAATAATTAAGAGATTAGGGAATTATGGACATAAATAAAACCCTGCCGAAACAGCCAAAATATTACTTAAAAGCTTAACCGACCCAATCTCTAGCCGAGTACAGCAGGGACTGATTTCTTCGAAATATTAGATGTAATAAAGACAGACATTTTTCCAGTTCGACAAGAGTGACTGAAAAGTTGTAAATTTTGGAAATTTCCGTGGACCTAAAACAAATTAGTTAGAAAACAAATGACAGACAATCTATTAAGTTTAACATATTTAGATTTTTACAGCTATGGTGAAAAATGTTTAAAATTTACAACAACCCTGTCGCGTCCTTTGAGATATACCAGTGATGCGACAAAAGAGGCATTTGACATTAATTTAACCGGTATCGGCAGCCTCGGGATTTGGCAGCCTGCATATATGCACGCACCGCACATCTCTCTGATTCCACTCGTAGGGAGCTATTTGACTAAGTGGTTAAGATTTAAAAAGTAAAGAATATTTTATGTTATTTTTATGTACGTTTCATACGTCAGATAAATAATCTATTAAAAATACATTTAAAGAATTAACTGATTGCCCCTGGAAGTCGGCTTCTTACAGAAACACAGCTTCCCTATCATCAAATGTCATGGCATGCCACTGCAGATCAAAGTACTCACTTTCAGTAATGTATGGTCAGACTCAAATGCACACGAGCTCACACTAAATATATTCTCTTTGCATATGCACTTGTATAGAACTTGTATTTAGCCATATAGAAACTATAGTTTATTTAGCAAATATATCTGCAAATTAACATCTCAAAGACAGACTTTTTTAGAGTGTATCTCTCATTCATTGTGTTAGATTGCAATTATTATATACCAGTTTGTCTAAATATGGTGATAAAACATATAGCATTCACATAGGCCAAGTATCTGTTGTCTGCCATCCTTGTCTTTCCAAGACTACTGGTTCTGGTTAACTTGCATTTGATGAGTATAGAAGTATATCATGGACTGTTGACTGTGTCAAGTGGATGACAGATGCAACTGTACATTTCAACTCTACCTTTTTGTAGCACTGAATGATAATTTGTTATACAGGATCAGGTTTACTTCATGGTATTTTAGGGCCTCAAATTGCCTCTTGGTAAAAAACCTTAACTACACTATTTTCTGTTGGATTCTGCTGCAGTTTATATGCACTTTCTGCTATTACAGTTATCTTTATTTGCATTTTTTGCCATAGAAAATACTTTCATTGGTTGCTGTTGTTGGCATATATCCATATGTAATCCATAATTTTTATCTTTATCAACTCAACCATATTATATTTTAATTTTAATAATAACATTTATTCCACTAATCTTCAATCTAGCATACTTTATGTTTTATTCCAAATTTTCCTGATGAGTTCCTTTCCCAACCCCACCCAATGATTGATGATTGCAAATAAAAATATCACTTTAAAGACCAGTGTAAACATTAATTACTATAAAAGTTTCATTTATTTTTTAATAAAATAAACTTCTATTTTATAGATAAATTATAGGATGGTTGAGCAGTTAAAGTAGCAGCCTAACACTCCGGGGACCTGGGATAGAATCTGGATGGGTTGAAAAACCCAGGAATTTTGAGGGGCCCCATCTGGATACATTGGGCACAGTCCCTCCTCATTGTGGGCCTGGCAAAATCCATAATGGGCTTGCTAGAAAGTTGGTCTTAGTACCCACAGAGCATGTAGAGTTAAATAAATAGATAAATAAATTATATTACAGTATTAATAAAACAAACCTAATTTTGGTAACGGATAGCTGATATTAAAAAATTTTTGATAGTAAACTAAAATTTTGGCTGCAGCATCCAAAGCAAAATATGCTTGATTTAATTGTTCCTCAGGAGCCAATACTCTAACCTAAAAATAATTAAATAAAACATTAGTTATTAGAATTTATAATGATACTGAGCAATTAACAAGAACCTTACTTCAATTCCTTCTTTTCTTGTCGTTAGCTGCTTAAAATCACAAACAACAAATGCAACTAGATAAGTGCTCATTTGTACCGTTTCTTCAAATAATGATAGATTCAAATTGTTTTCGTAAGGCACAGTTGTAATCCATTTTGAATTAAAATAAGCAGAATGCACTGAATCGTGCACCATTTTTAATTGGAATTTAGCTTTCATTGCGGGTTCGTCAAAACATGGAAAAGCTGATCTTGCCGATGTAGCTTCAAAATGTGTTGTGGCAAGATACCTAAATGATACAAAAATATTTAAAAATTCGTAAATAACTTAATAAATTTAAGACCAATTACCAAATAAAACTAATATTTGCTGGAAAATTATAACTTGTTATTGAATAAAAAAGTTTTAAAAATCTGGCAAGAGCTCTTGCTAGACCTTCCCGGCATTCAAATGGAGGTCAAGGAGACTATTAGGAGTCTGATAATTTTCAATTATATTACAATATATAATTTGACTATTAAAAATAAGCTTAAAAAGAATAATTTTGCTGAACTATGATAAAAATATCCATTTAAAAAAAATAATTAAGTTTAAAAAAATACTGTGACGTTAGCTCAGAGTTAAAATCATGTGTGGAGACATCCATTTCAAGATGTTGTTACAAAATAAGTTTTGTATTATTATTATAAAAAGGCTAAAACGGCTTAATTTTGAGGGAAGAGATGAGTTTTTAAAAATATTTAAATGCTAATAACTAGTAAAATTGTCCAGCCTCCAAGTTCCATACTTCAAAGTTTAATAGCATGGTATCCCTTATAAACAAGTTATTGTGCCAAATTTTCAATATACAAGTTCTTAATTTTACCCCATCCTAAGATATTAAATGAAATAGAGGCCAACACACACACACACTTGTAGGTTTTCATTTATTTGTTTATTTTTTTTGGGGTTCAGGAGATCGCAAAACGTTGAGATATATGCAAAATACCTAGGAAAGTCAGTTTGACATGATTCCAATACTTTCCCATGTTATGTTATAATGACTGAGAAAGTAAAAAAAATTTTAGAAATTTACAAAAACTATGGCATATAGAAGCCAAAAATAAGAAATCTTTCAACATTATCATGAAGAATGTCAAAGAATTAAGAGAAGAAAAGAAAGAAAGAAGGAAGAAAGCATGTGGTTAATTTAGAACAAATTTCAGAATGAACTACAATTAATGAGCAACTAAACAAAAACTCAAATGAACCAATTACCATTTCACGATATTATACAAACAATGCAAATTATTAATTATAAAAAAATAACAACAAGGATAAGGAAAACAGACAAAAGCTTAAGCTCACTCTCATTCTTCTCCAAAATTGCTCAAATAACAGCAAAAGAAAGAAAAAAAAATATAACGAGATTTCCATTCCAAAAATGAATTGAACTTGTTTAAACATCTTTTATCTCTGTCAGTTTCCTCATTTCGTTAATAGAAATCTTAAACCAGAGGAATGTGCTATCAGATTGAAAATATTGCAACCTGTTTACAAAAGTAAGACTATGATTGGTCTTAAAAATTTAAGAAATGTGTTTTATGAATTCTGATATTCATACACATACACAGTACACTACATACATACATATATTGTATGTATGTACACTACATACAATCCCTGAAAAAAAGTTTTTGAACAGCAGCAGTTATGTGAAAATTACTGATTACAGGGATTTATTATTTGTTAACAAATAAACTCCAGTGATAAAAATTCTGGAGTTTATTTGCATAATAAAAGCCATTATTGTTAGAAAGTATCACACTGGAAAAATAATTTGGAATATAAAAAAAAGAATCTTGTCCAATCCTAGGACTGAAAAAAGTTTTCAAACATGTCCTGTAAAAATAATAAAGGGCAAAATTAAAAGCATTAGCTACACACGCCTTGGACGAGGACGTGCAAATGAACATCAACAGTGTATGACTTATTTACCATATATGGGAGCCTCTGCAACTTAAGTACCTTGAAACATTAGAAATTTACAAGACCAGCAGAAATGACACGGCTGTTAACTATAAGGACAATAACACGTTATCCCCAAACTTGGAGGACATTTGAAATTTAATAATATTTTTACATCCCAATGTAACCATGTGATCACAAACTGACAATCGGATGTTGTTCTTTTAATATTTTAAATTATGACATTTTGTTTCTCATTCCATTTCCAAATCTGTTCTTTTAACCTAAAGACAATCAATCAAGGCAATTGAAAATGTTCCTTTTCCTTCAACGTTTTGTTCTAGTGAGGAAATGGGCTCATCTGTCACTCTGCTGCTTCAGGTTTAGCGTTAATCCATAGGGGTTGTTATTGACGGCATTGAGAAATGTTTGAATAGGAAGATCATGTGACCAAACAACAACAAAGTTGTCGACATATCTGAAGTAGAGGAGGATGCAATCCTCAAAAACAGGAAGTACCTGCTGCTCAAAACACTGAAGGATCAGTTCACAAAGCATACCAGAAATAGGATTACCCATTGGTACAACCATAGATTGTAGACATGTCACTCCTTCTTTGAAGATCCCGCAGCTTGGTACAACAAGTTCAGGTACTGAAATGGATGAAAAAAAAAGTAGGAAGTATATCAAATACAAAAGAGTTGTATACAAAATTAAATAGGACATCTTTAAAAATTTTTGTTTTAGTTTGTTAAAAATAATTATAATTTTTGGCAAAATGAAGAAAATAATTCTGTATTTGAAACCTGCACAGCTAAATTATAAAATAACCCATTACATATGATTAGAAAAAATGTTATGTGATTTATTATATGGATAATGAAGTCATTAAAAATTATAATGTAAAGACTGGGGACAAGTAATTGAAAGAGAGCACAAAGAATTTCATTTATATTAATAATGTATAAACAACAATATTTGCCTTTTTAATTTTCATTTATCTTGAGTCTTGGAGGTTGAACTTCGTCAAAATCTCAGCAGCTATCTTAGCATTTCTCACTCTAATTTGCTGATTTGCATAATTATGTTGATTGCGCATTAAAATAGCATAATAAACATCAAAAATTATAAATAATGGTTGTAGTAAAGAAAGAAATGAATTCACAAACAATTTCTTAAATAAGAATAAAGTAATTGTAAAAATGTATGAATTTGTAAATTTATCTAGTGACATTGCATTAAATGAGTATCGTCAGGGCCAACACAGTGCTGCGTTATTGAATATGCCGACTTATTGAACAATTTTATTTTTTCCAGTTTTTCGATTGGCTGTGTATAGGGTTACTTTATGACATTGGTTCTCAACCGCATATTCTGAACAAACTAAACTTGCCCCAAGTGTTCCACGAAAAAAAAAACTTTTTTAAGGTTTTGTTACAGATTTATTCTAATGTACTACAATATATTACTTTATTCATAGACAATTCCATATTTATTATTTTATTCAGTACAATAATGTTTATTAGTTTATTGCTTTATGGTTTCACAAGAATAGTAAACATGAACTTGCTTATCAATTTTGAATATATTGATGCTAATGCCCTGCTTAATAAGTATACGAATGATATTCCTTGGCATGAGAGAAGTTGAGAAAAACTGAAGTCAGCAAATAGCTTTTAATAAAATTTTTTTGCTATAAAATTTCACAAGTAGAAGAAACACAAGGTCTCCACATTTGCCCTTCTTACACCACAGGAAAAATAAATGTCACAATGTCACACAAAGGAGTCCATCTTTATTTTCACGCTCTTCTCCATCAATTTTTGCATATTGAACGTCCAATGATATGAGAAGGATGAATATGAAGATCTTGTGTTTATTTTACTTATGAAAGTTAAACTAATTTATTGTTTAGGTTTTACTTTTTAATAATTGTAAATTTTTTTGTCTTTTTATTTTAACGAACTTGAGTGTGAAGTGTTTGTTTTAATCTGACAAAGCTTTCAGTTATACTTTGCAAAGTGTCTGCTGCCAAGAGATCAAATAATAACATGTAGATATGTCAATATTCTGAAATATAGCTTCGTGTTAATGTTTGAATTCTTGGAACATGACCACACAGTTAATGCTGACAGCTCCTACATCATTGTAAGAAATTTGAAAGAGAACCTAAGAAAGAAATTATTCAATTCTTGAAGCAACAATGTAAGCCTCCTTCAGAGGATGCCATCTGTGCATGGCACAAAGGACCCTTCCTGCTAAGCAGCCCAGCTGAACTAGTGACATACTGTTCACATGTGGCGGTACGCCATGTCTTTGTAAATAGGGGTAGATATAAGTTTTATTTCTCCTAAATTCCTTTGTCTTTAATGTGTTTCTAGAACTTTCTAACCTATTCTTTTTCTATGGGTGGGGGACCTTTGTCCAAGGACAAAGGGAGAAGACAAAGGGGACATTAAGAAGCCCTGAGGCCATCAGGAAAACGAACAAGACACTTTTGGGGTCAGCGTCCGAGGTGTGCAGACGTAGGAAAGAGCAAGCTAGAGGTTTGTCGCCTAGTGGGACAAAAAGAGAAGGCTTGGAAGTTGTCTGCAAACGGACGAAAATTAGAAGGAAACCCAGATTAAGACTTCAAAAACGCCCTCGAATTCTCAAGAGACGGAAATGAGAGGAAGGAAATTGATTCAAGTACCGATATAGAGAAGATCGGAGACTGCCAAATTTACCCGGGTACCCCCACAAATCTGTCCTTTATACTTGTCTCTTCTCTTCATATCTCTTAATTTCTTCACCCTTCTTCCTTAGCATATAAGTTAGATTAAGGTAGATTTAAGTTAGTTGTAGTATCTCAAATCATATTTTTTCATTGTCGCGAGCATGTGTCTCCTGCCTGTGAAAGCATATAGTATTTTGTCGGATGGCTTCGAACTTGTGTGCGTACTATAGTTTGGGATCAAGTGTGTTTAGTGTAACGAACCAGGTGTACGAAGGACCATGTAGCTGTAGTTAAATAAATATCCTGTTTAATTTATAGTTACTTCTTTGTCATCCTTTTTTTTTGTCCTCCACACCACCACACACGTTAGTATCAATGAGTGTTTCTAATGCTTCCTGCATTAAAGAAACACCCATTAGCCTGTCACTTCAGCTGTCAGGATGTGAAACATACAGCAAAGACTGTCAAAGTAGGGAATCTTTTTATGAGGCTGGCATTAACTAGTTTATTATGTCTATGACATATACTGTAATTGTCAAGGGTGCTATGTACAAATATAATATAGGTTAGTCACATTTTGTAGTTTATAATCTTACATCTAAATCTAAATAATAAAGTAAATTTAAAGTAAAAAAAAAAACCATTAAAAAAACTATCTAAAATTAAATTTGGTTACACGAATATTAAATTAAATGTTTTAAAAGAGATTTTTATTTAAAATTTAATTAATATAAAAGTACCTTTTTTCTCCTGCTTTTGTTTTGTAAGAACTAATATAAAAACCTTCCAACTTCTCTTCTAATATTTTCATAAAATCAATAATTAGAATATAATTTGCATCTTTTTGAAGAGTTTTGTGAAACTGAATAAAAATTTGTTCATGCTTGTGACATTCAATGTGTTGAAGAATTGAAATTTCTGTTTCATCCTCTGTCAAAAGAACAAATCTTGTAATATTTAAATCTCTGGCATGTAAAACCACAAAGTCAGAATCTTGAGCCAGAACGAAAGTAATATTGACGTTGCCCTTATTTAAAAACGTTGTCAAATTTGGATGAAGAAACAAGGAATAATGTTTTGGAATTATGAACGAAGGCAGGCGAATGTCCTGCCAGGGACACACATCATCTGCTGGATGTTCTTCGGATGGAGAAACATTGGATGCATCGTCAAAATGAACATTACTCTCACAATGTAAGGCAGGTCTCGCAAAAGCTGCAATCAGAGAAATCACCAGCAACAGCACAAATACGGTAATAGTAATGCAGAGAGCCTGCACTTTTGTGCACGAGAAATGTCTCTGTCTGTCACCAACTGAATCATCTCCATAAAGCACTTGCTTTTTAGCATTTTCACCTGAAATAATTAAAAATAATCTCAATTTAATAGAACGTACTTATTTTAAAATATTCATACAAATAAATATACAGTAGAACCTCGATTATCCAGACTAATTGGGGATGAATGTAGTCCGGATAAGGAAAAATCCGGATAATCGAAATAAATACTTTAATTTGTCTTTTAATGATAATACAACACGTTTTCTTTTCGATGACATATCGGTAATATTAAAAGTGAGTACTGTATTTAAATCGTGATCAAATTTTCAAGAAACAAACGTTCGTATTGAATTTGGACTACTACTGACCAACGCTAACAGACTACCTATTGTTTAAAAGGCCCTCTGGTGGCACAAGAAGACGGATATTATAAAATAAAAAGCAGTTGAAACTGCATTTTTATGAATAAAAATTTGACAAACTATTTATCGTTTTATGACGAGTAAAATTTTTCCGTTGCGTTCACGGCTTTTAAGTAATGCATAAACCTTCGAGGCGCGAGGCCCTTCGGACTGCGAGACATAGGCGGTGGCCCACGTCGTCCATGCCTTACGCCGCCCTTGGTCATAGAAATGATGCAATTTGAATATAAATTATTTATAAATACGTATGTAAAGTTATATTTTTATTACTACGTAAAATATTTAAGAGTTTACGACCACTGTGCTGGGTGAGACGTTGTTGAAACAAAAAAAGTTATGCATTCCATCACGTACATAAAAAGTGACGTAATTCGCCAAGTGCAAATCAGCAAATTTGTAAAATTTTTGTTTATTTTAAACAATCCGGATAATCGAAAATCCGGATAATGGAGGTCCGGATAATGGAGGTTCTACTGTATTATAAAAATACAAGGTGACCAAGTGAAAATTTTACTCGTAAGAAATGGTGCAAAGAACTTGACAATGCCACAAGCTGGATTTGGCAATGCTGTGAGCCGGCCATGCTTCTTATTATGCTTCTATGCATTACAAGAAAAATAACATTTATTAATGTTTTAAATCCGAAATTTGAATTTTTAATCCAGTCTCAAATATATTAAATTAATTCTTTTTCTGCTTATAGGAGTCTAAATAAAAACACGCATACATTTACCTATTCAAGTAAGTGTTTTAGAACTCCAAAAGCACTCCTTTAAGCAGAAAAAGAATTGAATTAAGCTACGAAGGAGAAAAGGTTGTACAAGGAGTCTTGGATCAAGATGTACTGTACCATATTCATTTTTTGACAAACTGAGTTAAGCATGTGGGCAGATACTTAGAATCAATGTGTGTCAAACAGCACTACTGCAATGGACCAGTTTTTTCAATATGTCATGTTAAATAAAGAGAAAAAACTGCTTGGTTGTAAAAGGTACTGTAAACACTTGTAATTCCCAGTAGTACCAGACTAGGGGAGTCCAATTTAATTTGTACAAAAAAATAAAGGGCTACAATATTAAGTGTATGAGGTTCAAATTACAAAATTTTCCCACTTTTCTTTTTAGCACAAAAACTATTTACCTTGTTGAATCCAAATAGTAGAAAAATCCTGAGATAGTTCATTTGGAAGAGTCTCTCCCAAAATTTGGATGTAAATGGATAAAAATGAAGTTCTACACAGTTCACTTTCATAGTTGCTTGTCCTCTTCACTCTTTGCTAGTGAATCACACACACAAAAGAATAGTAAGAAACAAAGTGGAACACCTTAAATATCCCTCAACGGAAGGTAAGGGTGGCTCCCCTTACATGGACAAACCGTTACAAAAAAAATACAAAAAATATCAAAATGGTGTTGTAACATCACACAATGAAAAAAGCTGCTCCAGAGAAACAAGCTATAATATGCATCATGCAATTACTATGCAGTTGCTCACTTCCTGTTCAGGTAATGTTGGCAGCATGTGAATGAATCTCGACTCGGTCTTTCTTCATTGTGTATAGTGTGTGCGGAGAACAATACTTTTTGCAACACAACCAAACACTGTTGGGATTCCCAAATGAAATAGAACCAAAGAAACACACTATCAGGATTCCTGTTAATGCTAAGGAGGTATCTGATATGGTGGAGTTATTGGAGAAGCATTGTGGCCAATGGCCATATCGGCATATGTTTATTTTATTATTATTGGTATATACATATTTTTAGTTCTAATATTCTTTCCCTATTTCTTCGATTTCTTTGTGTGTTCATTCTAGAACATTCCATGACCGTTATAGCCTTTAGGGGGGATTAGTGATTCTGTGAATCGCAAAGAACAATAGTGCAGGAAATTACCCCCTCTGAGAGAGGAGAACAAAGAAGGGTGTGTAGAGGGGACAGCAAGAGGTAAGAAGAGACAGAATCGAGGGAGACACGTGGAGAATAAGACGTGTCGAGGTGAACTCCGGACTTGACTGAGAGCCGAAGAAAGAGAGACTTCTCGGGAGGGTCAAGCGACAGACTGGAGAGAATCAGAGTCCCCATGGCTGAAGGCCCAATGACAGGAAAACTGAAGACATTTTACTTCACTAAGGAAGTAGATCAGAGGACACAGTAAGAGTTGGGAAGAGAGTGCCAATAGAAAAGGATCCAACCTAGAGCGCAAAATCATATCGGAAAGAACGAGGAAAGTCCCGGGTGAAGTTGTTTCTTCCTTCTATTTTCCTTCTTGCTATCCTATCCTTCTTATATTTTCCTTAGTATTAAGCTAGGTTTAAGTTAGGTTAAGTTAGATTTTATCACGCGTATAGAAGATACATATTGTCATGCGCCAAGTTAACGTCACCCCGCGATTTCTTGTACCCATCACGTTGTAATGATTATACCTGAATCAATTGGGATCCATAAATAAAAGAACCTGTTAGTGATTTGTAAGAAAAGTGTTGGTAATTATAATTGTCCTTACAACACAAAGACCACAGCATTTTGGAGACAAGTGGAATGAAGATCGTCATTTAAAATACTATGTTGATGTTTGCAAAGGGAATACCACCAAAGCAGAAATTGCAGACAAATATTGTGAAGACAGATACATGACCAACCTTGATAGAGGGCAGACTAAATATGCATATTATCTTATGATCTGAAAACAATACTGTTGTCAGAATAACATACAGCTTGATCCATCATTGTATTGCATTTTCTGCTTTAACTGATACCAAAATCATTCCATTGGTCTGAGCTAGATACTGTGGTAGTACACTAGTATATTTTTATTTGTCCATATATGTTTTAAATATGTTTATATATTTTCCCTTCCTTCCTTCTTTGTTCTTTTGTATATAACTTCCTGGAACTTTCTTCCAAGTATGGGTGGCAGGTGACCTGGTTAGGGGACAAAAGAAAGGTATAGCCCAGAGGGCAAAAGGAGAGACACTTAAGCCACTTTTAACTGGAATGTGGAAGAGAGAAGACGCGTCAGAGAGTTCTCCAGGTCAATTTTGCATCGGATGGAAAAAGTAATGAAAAGTTTTTAAAGATCAGAAACCCAAGAAGAAAGGAGTATCATGAATAAAGAACATCAGAAGGGTTATAGTAGAATATTGATCGACTTTCACCTACAATCGGTCCCCACAATCCAGAATGATATCATCCAATCACCGCCACCTTGATCGTCAACTATTGGGTACCCATTCTTGCTTGGCACTATATTTCTACCTATCCTATTATCTATCCCTTTCTCTTTTTCCTTTATTAGAATAATTACTACTTAAGTTATTGATAAGTATTTCTTCGTACTGCGATACTTTTTTGTTCTACCTGTGGATTCGAAGAAGTTTTTTTTTGAACAAAAAGGAACTAGGAGTGTTGGAATCCGGAAGATCCTGTCAAGTGTTAAAATATGAATAAAATAAAAGAACATTTTGTTACTCTAATATATGCATCTCTTTGTTAAATAAATCCCACCACCTGCATATGACCACAGTACATTAGGCATACACTCTTTGTGACAACAATATATGTCATGTTGATCAAAGACAGCAATTGTGTTTGGAGTGTAGAGGGGCATTGCCATATCTATCCAAAACACATCTTCATTTGAGTAGTGCTTCTTCGAGAATGAAACTAGTCTGTCATGGATGCTCTGACAAAGAGCATCTATGACAGACAGAGCCACAAGAAACATTAGTGCCTCATAGGGAATGCTATTGATCTTGAAAGATAAAGATTTTACATTATTTCAATTCTAAAAATTTTATACATTAAATATCCAAAAACTAGCCATAAGACTTAATTGATGAATAATTATTTATCATTTAAGAAAAAAATCAAGTAAGTACAGGGAAAAGATTTTTCAATGTGAAAAATGCACTTATACGTATGTCTACACAATATCTAAGATCTTACTCTTCATTCACAATGGTATGAGAGTGAATGCAGGTTTGCACATTCTAATTTGAGTCCACTTAACATTAGTTCTAGTTACACTACTGTGAAATACAGATTCTGCACACATCAAACTGCATAAATCAAGCATCAGAAAACCTGACAACAGAAACAAAACAGAATTTTTATTTTGATTAGTAATTGTCACTACTATTCAAAGCAATAGCTAATAAAAAGGCATTTTGTTGCCAGGCCTTTACAACCTACATAAACAGAAGTTTGAATTTTTTCTGTTTTAATCCCCACAAGATGTTAGAGACAATTTTTAGAAAAAAAAAAGGATTAAGGCCGCAAGCCAGATAGAAGCATTAATGGGTCATATCAGGCCTTCAGGTTGCCAGTTTGCAGCCCCTGTCTTATAGCCTGTGCTTCTTCTGAAAATAATTACCTGGCATTCAGAGCATTGCTATACTTCTTTCCATTCCAAGAAGATGCAAACATTGAAGGAACAAAAAATGTATCATCTAATAATAGAAATGGCTGTAACAGTCACCTGCCATATTTATGTATACAGTATTTTAATTTTAATTTATACTTTATAAAAGTTTCTAAAATGTTCTGATTTCTTTGTCTTGCTGGTTTATTTATTAAAATTGCATACAGAATACCTTAGTCAATACAGAATGCAAGAATTTGAAAATGCTTTATTCAAGCTGAAGAATTAGCAAAACTTTTAAGAATGGAGCCAATATTTACAGAAAAAAGGTGTTTGTAAGAAGAAATTGCGAAATTGAAGACACCATTGTTGCTGGTTGATGAGAAAACAAAGTTCCAAACGATGATAGTCAATATCATTTTAGACGCAAGAATAATTTCTCTTGAAGAAAGATTTGAACAAATAAAAACTCACAAACAAAATTGAGTTTTCTTTTTAATTTAACTAAAATAAACAATTTAAAACAAATTAAGAAAATATTGCATGGATTTGCATTCAATTCTTAATCATAAAAATAGTAGTTAAATTGAAGGAAGTGAACTATGTAGAAATTAATCAGTTTACTTCTGGAGAATATCCATTTGCTGTTAAAAGCAAGCAATTTATGGAATATAGTTCCAAATATGTGGGTTCGCATTGAGAATTCTGCCAAAATCCCTGAAACAGTAGCAACAGCCAGAAAAAGTTTTAGCAAATTAAAATTTATCAAAACATGTTTGCCATCGACAACGAGATCGAATTCTTTAGCCTTGTTACCTATTGAAAATGCTGCTGCTCAGAAGATAGACATTAATGAAAGAAAAAAACTTTCGAAGATTTAAAAATAAAAAAAAATATATAACTAAATTATAACTGATTAAATTAAAATTACTGTTTAAGAGAAATAATTTTTGTTTGTAATCATTTTCGTGTGTTTCTTTTTTACATAGTATATCCAAGTTAATAAAAATTAAAGTAGAAATATTGAAGTTACAAAATTACTAATTATTTGAAAAAATACTTATTGGGCTGCAATTTTCAAATTACAGACCTGTAGATGCCACCATCCATCTGTTTTTCCTTAATTTCGAGAATGGAGTTAGATATGTGAAAATCGAGACCAGATACAAAAAGCTTAGGAACCAGAGGCTCGATTACCTATATACCTATATTTTTAAAATTAAAATATGATGAAAAATTGCAGCTGGATACTGCAACGACGTTACAATAAGTAATCAGTTGTACTTATAATTAGAAAGTACGTAAGTATAAAAAAATACTTAGGAGGCATAGAACTGTAAAGTTTGTCCGGGAAGCAAAATTATCTTGGTTCGGCCCTACCGACGTCATCAATATACAAGTGGTAACATTGATAAAAATTGACATTTTGATCTGACATTATCTTGCTCGCACATACATCATTGGTTCCTTTGACTTTTTTACTCTTACGAGCATGATCTATGGCAGTGGCACATCAGCTACGAGCAAAAAGGTGCAATTGCCACAGGCTCCCAAACCAAATGTTTATTAGAAAAATTTTCCCCAAAAAAATTCCCTAGAAGAAAAACGTCTGAAGTCGATGCTATACATGGTGTTTCCCAATTTAAATTTGTCCAGGCCTCACAAAGGAGTAATATGTAACCGATCCATGGCTCTGATAAGGTCCCGACAGCCTCATTGTCCAGAGAGCATTCTTACCCCAAGAAGAAACTCATCCAGAAATAATTCCATTGCATTTAACAGCACATAGCTCTGAAAATTATGCAAACATGAGAATTTTGAAGCCAAATATGTCCAAGCAAACTATCTCATGGCATAACACTTTACTGGGTACAATTATACCGAATGAGACTGTTGGGAGCTTATCGGAATGGGAGATGATACCCATGGGAGCAAAAAATTCAAAGGAACCACGCTTCCATGCACAATCCTTGACCAGATACAGCCCCCCAAAAATGGTCCGTGGGCAACTGAGACCATCACGTTATTTAGCCCAGGCAACATTGCTAGCTACGAGTAGCCCACCCAACAATCCGCAGAGTACTTGGCATTGCATAGCTTTAGGGTGTGCGAGGGCTTGCCCTTGAGCAAGCAAACTCAATGCTTGACCGACAAAGAACAAACGTCACGCCGGCAGGTGGAAAAACCGACCTCCGGAGGTGAATATCTGGCAAAGGATCACACGTGCAGGTACAGTTCCTTCGACTTTTTTCCTTGTACAGGGGGTGGAAACTCCTCACTTGGGGTTCAAGCCCCTTTACTGTACGTCAACAATACGTATGCGAAACTCATTTTGTAAGGTTATATATTTACGTATTCACAAGAAACCACGTGCACGCCGTTTTCTTTGCCCGTCTTTATTAATTCGATACAATCGACGTATCGATTTGTGCGTAACCAGCAGAGAACTCGAGTGACACGTTCAGGCGCCGGTAGAGCCGGAGACGGCGATTAATGGAGGAAGACGAAGATTAGGAGCGACTCACCCGTGAGAAAGGCGACTTCGTCCACTTCCGGTTCGCTCATGGTAGCCGGCAACATCGTTTAGTGGAGGCGAGACGACGACAAATTGGCCACTTTGGCCTCTTCCATCGGATCCGGCGTTTCTCGTACGACGCGGTTTCGATGGCCGAAAATCACCGCTCTTCTCCCCTGTCGTCCCAATATCGATCGAACGGATTCGCCGCTTCGCTCCGCTTGCGCCTCGATTCTGCAATCGCGCGACGAAGTAAATATTGTCCGATTCGCTCGGACGGAAGACGAAGAGGTCGCCACTCCGCATCGACATCGCCGAGATCGTCAGAGGCAAATGATAATTTTTAATCGTTGGCTCTCCGCTCCCATCTTAAAAATTTCGCTTTTTAAATTATAAATTATCTCAAACTTTTTAATTTATAAAACTTTTTAAGTTCGGAAAAAAAAAAGCTAATCGATGGTTCGAATTTTTTTTTGGGGGAATTAAAAGTGGTTGATGTCTATGGATTTTCGGCTTCGATGCGTTCTTCGATTTACGAAATGATTTTATAACTCACTTAATGCGATAAAAGAATAAATTATTTTAAAAAATATTTTTCGTTATCCGCGACGTTTAGTTACGCGTAAGCAAATTACGCAAACCTTACGCTTTAATATAGACGTTACAAACTTTATCTTATGACTCCTGCATTTATAGCGTTACATATCTTTAGGTCTTAATTATATTTAAAAAATAATAGCTCAAATATTCAAAGTTAAAGATATTTTTATCATTGTTTAAGCGGAAACGGCTTTAATTAAAGACATTTAAACGGCCTCAACGACGTCAAATGCTAAATTCCTATTCGCTACGAAAAGTTACGAAAGGTGGCACCACTGCGACAATTGCAAGATGGGCCTGCTTACAAGCGTGTCGATTCTAAACTCTTTAAGCCTTAATACTTAATTAATTAAACAATTGTGAAATACAGTGTCTCAATAGACAATTTTTTACATTATATAATGTAAAAAAATATATATATATATAAAATTGTCTATTTATAAAGGAAAAAATAATATATTAATATATTATAAATTAAACATATATAAGAGAAAAATAATATATCATTTTTCTCTTATATATGTTTAATTTATATCGGGACACATGGAAGTGTGTCTTCTCTATTTACAAATACAACTGATACACAATGCTTACATATTCCATTAATTTCTGATGGGCAACTGCAATATAGAATTCTTTATGTGAAATTTAAATTAAATCTATAGATAGCTAGAGAAGAAACCCATAATGGGGGATCTGACATTGGCTTAAAATAGAAATTAAATTTATCTATTTATTACACTCTGAAACACCAATTACACTTTTCCCACATAGAAAACCGAAATAAATTTATGCTCGTGTTTTTGATTTACATTTTAAGCTTGTTTAATGTTTAGCACAGAAAAGGTGGATGGGTCATGTCCTACTTAGTGTCCAGTTCCTTAGTTCCTGCAGACCTAGCTCTTCTGAAACAACTGCTTTGATTGCATATCTGGAGCCTTGTTTGTTAACACTGAATTCTTGCTAAGTCTTATTATGCTCAATTCCAGACTCTTTTCTAACGAATTCCCAATCCAAAATAGTTTCGTTGGCATATTTTTTGCATGCTAACCTGTGGGTGACGTCTCTGTGTGTGTGTGTGTTCAAACAAGTAACCCCGACGGTTACTGTTGGGGTTACTGGTTTGAAATGTAGGCATACACATTGGTATAAATAGTTTTAATAATATTGATAAAATTATGTTTACAATGAATGAAAAATCATTTTTCTTGTCCATTGTAAATTATTTGTATTAAAACAAAAAGTAAAAACAAATACTTCTGACATTTTAAACAAGATTATCCAACTTGAGATGTTGTTCAGAGATACTGCTCCACCCTCCTTGCCGGTTAGATTTGAGACTTAGAATTCAGCATTAATGAATGTATCTCGGATTGAAAGTTTGATCGGATTTTCATTTTTGTTTTTTCCAAGAAAAGAGCCATTTATCAGATTTATATAATTAGAAATAAACAAATAGCATACTGACACATATTTAATGATGTTCTCCAATTATATAATACATGAAATCCCAAATGTACAGCCAGATATTTGGAATAAGATTTTATTGAATAGAAATGTTGTATTTACATTTAAATACAAAAATTTGCTTCTGCATAATGTACTGTACATGCTTTCTGAATAAAATTACAAATTTACAGTAGAATTTTCTTATTGTAATCACTTATATTTATGTATAATCTAGCTAAGTCAGTGTAGGAGCCTCATTTTAAATGTTTTATATTTTTTGAGGGCACCATCTCAGTGTTTACATTTAAGAACCATAGCAATAATTACACCAAGATATCAAAAAACCCAGCAAAATATGTATGTTTATGTTTATGTATAATGTGTAATATATTTAAAACAGAAGAAAACATTTGTTTTGCTTAAAATATACATATTTTGCTAATTTTTAGGTATCTTAGTGTAATTATTATTACATTATGCCAGTATTGTAGTAGGGTCTGTTTTAAGGACCAGAGGATATATAAATCCAGCATATATAACAATAAGCAGGATAAGTACATAAGACTGCATTTAGTGGAAATTCTGGTTTTATCCACAGACAAAAGAGCATGTTAAAATGATTAAATATTTTATAACTTTAAGATTTATTAATTACAATTATAATTAATATTAATTAATGGTTCAGTAATTCATGCAGTGTTGTTTTCATGCTGTTTTTTTCAGTAGTTCATAAATAAAACACTCATATTTATATCATTTTTACAGGATACCACAATTGGTGCATTCCAGTATGTATCAATCTCAGCCACACTCAATATACCGTTGAATGGTTTAATAAGCTCCTACTGGAACGTCTGGCAATCTAACCAGATGGCAGAAGCAAACTGCACCATAGTATTTGTAGTCTTATTCTGCCAAAATAACTTTGGGTTATTACAGGTCAGTAGTAAAAATGGTGTTAATAATATGACTATGAAGTATTGCTTTGTCGGAGCCTGCCATATCCACGGCCTGATGAGTGCAGTATGCATCAGTCACACATCAGTCATGCTATTGTAACACATTTTAATACACTGTGGTTTGCTGATACACTGTTTGATGCACACTGGAATTACCCAATGTTTAAAGCATAGTTTAAGACTGATAATGATTATCCATTATTAGCCATATATTGAGGCTGAGAGCATAAAAAGACATCTTAATAAAACCCATTTACTTGAAAACAATAGCCTATTGTAATTGGAATTTCAGTTATAGTTTAGTTTTATTTATAGTTATATTTGAATTTATGTTTTGAAATGTGCCAATTATAATTAGATGACTGATGATAATATTCATGATTATAGTAAGCAGATTTTATTGGGTTCATGTATGGGTTAAAATTTTGACCCATAAATGATATTAAAATTCTCTTCTGTAATGCTAACAAATAAGATAGAAAATAGACTTTTAATCATTAAATATTTTTAAATTTATAAAATGTCATTTAAAATATCATTTAAAATATTTTGGCAATCATTTTAATTTTGCATATTTTGATTAATTTGTTGCTGGAGCCACTGAATGACAGAAGATTCAACATTCTCCCTCCAGTAAATGTTGGCACGGATCCTTTCCAGGCTCTGATTTAATGCTTGACCACCCGATCCCACGTCCGCATTGTCAAAAAAGGCTTTTATCTAATATAATTTATAATAATCATTATAATATAATTAATTTTTTTTTATAACAGTTTGAAATTAACATACTTCATTATAGTCAAATCTTGTACTGAAATCAGATATTACATTTGATATAATAGAATCCATGGCAAAACTTCCTTGACCGAACCTATAAAAAAACATACAGAAAGTTATTCAGAGATTATTATAAGGAACTTTTCAAATTTTTAAAATTTTTATAAATTGAAATTACATGTCTAATAATTTTGACCAATTTTCTCGTACAAATCTCCAAGTTAGAAGACGTCCCACGGGATTTTGAGAAATTCTCGAAATGACGTATATGGTGTCTTGTGGACGTATCATGTCTTTATTTAGAGAATAATTTAGATACCTGTAAAAAATGAGTTTGAATGCATTTACATTTGATGTCAGAAATAGAGAGGAAGATTGAAAATACAAAAAGAGAAGAAATGTAAGAACAGAGTGGTGGAGAAGCTTTATTCTTCAAGATGTCTAATGATGATAGGGTAGAAAACTTTGATTAAGTCAACTATTAAACACAAGTCAAAGATTAAATGTATTTTATGATTTTGAGATACAAAATATATATACTTAATACATTTAAAATAGCTTGTATAAAACATATACAATGATACCTAAACCTAAACCTTAAAAATGGAGGATTCTGTTTGCCTGGAGTCTTCAGGATACATTTCAGGATAAATTATACCTTATAACTTTAATATATATATAGAACAGTTTCCAAAACAAAAGTCTGCATTCAAAACGAGAGCCAATCATGGCTCATTGCTTCTTGAAGCAGACATCTATAGGAGATAGCACTAAGGTATTTTTATTTAGATGTTCCTTCAAATATTGATGTCAATAATACTTCTTCATAGATCAATGAAGAAATATTACTAATCATATAGGGGGAGATTCACTGGTGGCATTCGGTAATTTTATCTCAGAAAGCATTGGTTATTAGTCCAATCTTCCTATTATTAAGTTTATAGAGTACACGGGACAATTTTTGGTGACCTTCTTGTTTTTGAGATAGAACAAAACAGGGTGCTTTTAAATTATAAGGGGCACTTTTGAGCCATTATATGGATGGTATACAACAAAATAAACAACTTTATAATAGATTACATTTTCTTAAATCTGATGATTTTCAAGATATCAACCAGTTTCTTCTAAGAATCTGATTTCTCTTTTTCCCAAAATTTTCTATGCTGGGAACTAAGTGCACAGGTTTATTTATCAAAAAGATTTCCATGACAAAAACATGATAGTAATGAAAGCACATTTCAAAGTTAACTTAAACTAGATGTTGAAAAAAATGTCTACCTTCTTGGCATATACAGGCAAAAACATATTGAATGCTTCTAGAAAAGCATTCAATATGTTTTGTTATTTACATCTACTGATATTACAAAGACATTCCTAAATTCTGATTTTTACATTTTCTGTAGAAGGATGCCAAAAGTAAACTATTTCCTTAATTGGTCTCCACAAGCTGGCATAAAGATTTGCAACCTGTGAATAATTTTGGTGGAAGCCATTAGTGTATCAAATGCTTCTTCGTTTGAATTTTTTCACAAAACTTTAATACCTGATTTGCATTTGAATTCATTTTCATAAAAACAAAGGAAACAAGTAAATACACAAAAATGAAAAAGACACTCCTTCATGCCTTTAAAAAGGTAACAATTCAATTTATTCAAACCCTGTTTGTTCAACTATCTGATATGATACAATAAAAATCACTCCTTGGTAGATCACCTGTGCTTTATCTTATCGCATTGCTTTATCCCATCAATCCAATCCAATTTTACTTACTGTGAAAGTTGCCAGATGTCATTCGAACTTGCGAGTGCATTCAATAGCAGTCGTTGCTCCGAAGGTATCTGACTCTCTTGGAATTTTTTCCAGCAAAAGTTCCATTCTTCCTGAGTTCCAAATTTTACTCCAACCATATAAACTACATTTCTCAGATCAGGATTGACTCTTAGTGGATAAAAGAAAAAAAATCTTTATGTTTACAATAATATAAACCTATAATTTGTATGAAGAATAGAATTAGTAATATAGTATTGAATAATGAAAAATAACTCCAAATTCTTTTAAAATATAACAAAAATCTGCTTTGTTGGAGTTAACTGTAAATATCAATTTTCCCCAGAGTTTTTGGGCAACCAAACCATCATTAAGAGACAAACAAATGAATTAGCTCGGTAACTAAGTCACCTAAATTTATTTATATAACATCTAAACATTATACATATGGACACAGTTAAGGGGGCATTGCCCCAATATTGCATAATTATTTATAACTGGGGCAATTTTTCAACTGGAATGAGCTGGTATGCCTTACTGGCAGTTAGCATAAAAAGTATTGATAGCTGGTACATAATATTGTCAGTTGCTCAGTAAAACAGAATTCTATTTGTCCAGTCACCATAAATTTTACAGTGATTTTTATTGAAAAATTTCTGGGATCAATGATTACAATCCTCACCTTTGATTTTTATGTCATGTTCTCCCAAGGAATATGCTCTATCTCCACCTGTGATTTGTGCAAACAAAGTGATTGGGAAAACTGATATTTAGAGTTAGATCACTAAATTTTGAAAAAGTTCTTTTTAAAATTAAAAAAAAAAATCATATTTTGGCTTTACTTTTTATACACTACATTCTTCATTTGAAAACGTAATCAATTTAGGCTGTGTTATTCCAAAAACTGTAAGACTGCTGTCATGTCACACAGTGTTACATTGTGTTTGAATAGCACTGTGTGACATGATGCAATGTGCAACATGATGCAACATGCAACGTGACATGAGGGAGGATAATATAAAAGTACCATTAGATCCAACAGAGCAGATTTTTGTTATAGAGTATTACGTATATTACATTCTTTAAAATATAATAATTTATGAAAATTATTCATGACAGTAATATAATAACTGATTTACATTCGTAACGTATCAAAATGTTATTTCACTGTTAGGAGATTTTATTATTGAAATTTAAATAAACAGAAGAAAACATATACCTCACATCTGTCTTCATCCAATTATAAAATCTTTTTTTAGCTTCTTCAATAGTTTCGGAATCTCCGTATTCAGCAGCAACATACAAAATCAAGGAACTCAATTTCCTGAAACATTTATTATTATTATTATTAATTCTTACAAATGCTAAACAATCATTTCATAAAAATTTTATTTTAATTAATTACAAAACAAATATTTTAGATTAATATTGTGAGGCCCCAGAGATAATAAAGAAAAAAAAAAAAGGAAAAGGATTTAAAGAGGAAAATGTAAAATTTATTAAGTTAAATTGTCAAGAAAACAAGTTATATAAATGTTGAGTCGGCGACACCAGACTTTGACATCGTTGCTCATAAAGAATAGTGGGAAAACAAAATTTTAGATAAAGAAAATTAAAAAGGGAATTATTTAAAACTTAGGATGCAATAAAGTAAGACAAAGTGAGAATGTAAAGAATGAGACATTAACAAAGCACGATCATAGTCGAGAGGATGGTGTCAAATAAACCATCCCGGGCAGACCTTTTTCACAACCTAATCTGGTCTCAATTGACACCTAGAGACAGGTAAGAGACCAATGTGGGAGCACGGAAGGGAAAGCCCAACCAATTAGAAATAATTCGATCCCAAGGAAACTATAAAACCTCCGCCATCAAGGACTTCCTCTTGAATATTCCTGTTGTTATCGTCGTCCTCTTCTCTTGGTGATTCCGCTCACCGCTATCTTATGTTACTTTCTACTCCAAACTCTAACTCACCATCGCCCTGGGACTCCATCACCACAAGATGAAAAGAAAACCACTAGAGACATCCAACTGCCAGCACATCGACCTTGTCAATTATTTGTAAGCATGATCTTCGAAAAAATAAATGGTTTCTTTGTGAAACACTTGTACACCTTAGTCCACCTCAAAGAGAGGGAATAAACCCCCCCCCAATCGGCAAACTTACAGTGGTGTTCGAGAAGTGAGATTTTAAGTCTCCAATCTCCACCAGGTTGGCAAACTTACAATATAAGTCATCTATAATAACAAGAATATATTTCGAAGTAAATGAGCTAAAAGTATCTATTAACTTTGAAAAAACTAACTACAAAATTTTTATAAATTTAATTACTATAATAAAGCAGATCCATTGCATTAATTCCTAATTAATTGGAGTCAAAAGACAGTTTTAAATGGTCCTCAATACAGGATGATTCACTCAAGACTGAACACTTATTATGTGGAATGTCTCTGTATAAAATAAAAAAATGAGAATGAAACACAAATGAGACAATTCTTTATTTTGTGACAAAATGGCCAACCAAGGTATGTTTTATATTGCACATTATTAAAATGACGTGTTGAACAAAGAAAGTGTTCAGTCTTGAGTGAATCATCCTGTACCTTCAATCTTCCTCAGCTTGCCATAATGTTTTAAACACATTAGACAAATCTTTCATTTGATGGATAATTCAATAACTATTTCTATAGAGCATATGATATATGATATATGATAAACATTATTTTAATGTCATATTTCATTTAAGCCATAGACTCTATAACATGGAGCTTCAAACATGGTAATGACTAATATCATAATATGTTAAGCAAATGCCTGATCTATCACAGCGGCTCTGCAAATAAATATATTAATTTGAATTTAACAAACTCCAGAGAATATTGTTTAAATACTATGGGTTATTTTTATGTATATAATAATTTCAGATATTTTTACAATTTTTTATATTTAAGGTAATTGGCAAAATGCTTTTTAATTTGAAAATAATGACAATGGTACAGTATAAATAGAATATTAGATCATCCATTGTAGTAGAGATAATATTGAATGACATAATCATAGAATGCTATATCAAGAAATACATTTACTGAATTTCTTTCTATAATCTACAAGTCTAACTATTAATGATATAAAACATTTAATAACTGAAAACAATAATAAGATTGTTATTATTTAAAACTTAAATATAGGATTATCAAGAAGTTTTATATTCTATTATTGTAAGGATAATACAGCAGTCATTTTAATTGATAAAGTTAAAAAAACTCACTTATTAAGATTTTAATTACTTTAAAATAAAAATAGTAAAAAAAACTTTAATGCTTCCTAAAAATTTTAGATATATATAGAAACATAATAATATCCTAAGCTTGAATTTACCATAACTGAAAATCATACAATTTGTTGTAAAAAGGGCTCAAAATTCAGGGTCTTACAAAAAGAATGATACCATTCTAAATTATTGATTATCTAAAAACATTGCAATGTACATTAAAACATTGGAAAACTCCAAGTTTCACATTTGCCCATTACAGTTTCTCAATGTGTGCACCTTGCATCACATGGCACACATCCAACCAGTACTCAAATTCTTCCTATGCTCGCTACAGCATATCTGTTCTCACTCCTCCTACAGTGGCCACAATTCCACAGTTCCTGCAGATTACTTGCATTGCACATTGACAAGTGATTCTGACTTTGCAAACTGCAGAACACAAAATACCATTTCTGTTGCAAAGTTAACATTTTTATTTATGATACCTCCGAGCAGGGGGTGGAAAACCTATGGCATACATGCCCAAAGTAGCATATTGAAAAGGACTAGTGATAAATTGAAATAGTATGATACATTATGTGCCAGATGATTTCTTCCAATCAGCTTCTTTAGACTTATTATAATTAAAGTATATTTGTTTCATTTCTTTAAATATTAGTATTCAAAATCTAAAACTTCAGCATACACAAACATTTTTAAATTATGCTCAGTATATGGCATGCAAACTCGAAAAGGTTCATCATCCTTGTCCTAGATGATAACATGTTTGAATGCAGATGGGAAGATGAAACTCTGACAGTTGCACTATCAATTGATGTAAGTTGCATACTTCTCAGATAATAATTAACATAATTACAGTAATTTAAATTGATAGTATTCATTTTGGAAGACCTTGTATTTCAAATTTATTGTCTTTAAAAAGTAAATATAATATTTCCTATAAAAACAGATATGATCCTTATCACACCTGTTTCTATAGGAAATATGTTTTAATTCGCATAGTTATTCTTAAAAATGTAGTTAAAAGATATTTTTAAAACAAATTTTACTTTCTGAGGTGTTGCTCTTCATTTTCCCAATTGATTGTTTTAACAACTGGTTTTAATAATTTTTGTATATAATTCTGAAAATTAAAGAATTAAATTTAATAAAATTTTGAATTATACTATTTTAATTTATATAATATTTTTGACTCACTTGAAACAATAAATGTCCAGAACTTTCAAACAGCAGAGCATTCAAGTTACCAAAATGCAATAATGCAGTATTCCACGGAACATAATCTTGTTCCTTCAATAAATAAAGCGTCAAATTTAATGCAAGATCACTTTTTAAAATTCCAACCCTGTAAAACCATTTTAATTATTACAGTTGATTAGCAATTCAATCACAATAATCAAAGAAATAAGATTTTTGTCAAACCTCGCAAGAGTGAGAGCATCATCCAACAAGTTAGATCTATCTGCAGGATAGAGAACCTAAAAAATTAATTTGGAAAAAGTTCCATAAATGAAACATAAAATATTACAACTCATCCGAATAAATCTTACCATATGATTTGTCCAAAGGATCTTGATTAACGATTTCCACATTTCGTCGTCGTACATGACACGATAGAATCCGGTCTGATTCACATTCAATTTTAACCAATTGTAATTTCCAGATAATTGAAATGATGCTTAAAAAAAAAGATTATATTAACATAAAAAAAAAAATACTTGTATTGACATCATAATGTACTGTATAAATTTATTAAACTTACACATTGTTGTATTCAGCCAAACATGTTTGGTTTCAAAGGACTGATCAGTTAAATATGTCAGAGGAATGTACCATATATAACCATAAGGAGATAAATCTTGCTGATTGGTTTCGTCACTCTCGGCTGGACTTGAATAAAATCTAGCCTGACTGACAGTGATCATATTTTTACTTCTTGACACTTTAATTAATGGAAATCCCATCTGACGTGTCCAAGTGTCCATGATTATTGATACATTCAAGTTTGACATCTTGCCTGTTACCTATTTAAAAGATAAAATATAATTTTAAATATATTTTATTTAACTTTAATCATTTGAAAACATAAAAAATTTTTAAAACTTATTCAAATTTTAATGATGTAGTGACATAACTAAAACTTAAAAAATTACATACTAACTTGAAAAATAAGAAAAACTAACTAACTAGAACAGTTCCAAGTAGAAGGTGTTATAGCTTCAAAGAAAAAATTGGTTGGATAACTCAAATAGTCAAGTAGGAATGAAAGATTGAAGTTTCAACAAAGGCTTTCAAAGCAATTATCTCAAAATGGTATTTTCAGAGTTGCCACTAATGTTCTCAGCAGGCAGTATGACAGACTTAAATAAAATTGACTACTACAAAGTGAGATCCTAATCCAGAATAAACCTGATAACAACAATGTTCTTATTTTAAATTTTTCTTAATTCAAAAGAAGAAACAATTGATAAAATGCATTGTATATCTTCATTTATAACTCTATATCATGTTCAAAAATAAGCATAATTATCTAATCCATAAATAGAACAAATAGAACAAACAGCAAAATTTTATATATCTTTTCAAACAATAAAAATACCTAGAATGTAGTTCTATATTTCAAGAAAAAGCAAAAGTTTATGTAAAATATGCAGGCTTCATAAATACAGGAGTTTGGCATTGTTTCTGTTGTCTTTAACCTTTGAAAACAGTTTGTCACTGTTGTCAATGGTTAAACTCAATGATACTAAAATGATAACATCACAATGACATTTCATAGACAATTTTATGAAAGGAAGTATTATTGGAAGACTAGAAGCAGGCCAGTCATAAATAGATGTATTTAGGGCTCCAAATGTACTGCAGAGCATCATGTCGTGCTTTGGGCCCAATTTCAAAAAAATGAGACAATAGAAGCAGAAAGTGGTTTTCCAAGAGTTACCAATTTTCAACAGGACTGCTATTTAATGTTAACAGCATATTGTAGCAGAAGAATATCTGGTATAGCCATCTATGTTAGAATTTCACAACAAAACTGTAGAAGAAACTCTAATCATATGCATAGAAAAGCCAATTCAAGGTTAAACCAAGAACATCAACATAGGATATTTTGAATGAATGGGACAACATTCTGTTCACTGATGAGTCCAGACAGTCTATAGAATTATTCTCATCAGATTAGAATCTGGAGAGAGCAGGGAACCCAATACAATCTCATAAACATCATAAAAAGAAACCAGTTTGCAGGTGATAGTAGTATAGTCTGGAGCAGCATTATGTTTAGTGGCTACACTGAATGCTATTACTGCAAAAAGATACAGAGACAGTGTTTTTGAATACATGTTTTCCGAGGTGGCATGAGTACAGACTTCATTTTTATGGATGATAATGCCTATGCACATACAGATGCACTTGTCAATGACTTTCTCAACAGTGAAGATATTTGTCCCATAGAATGCAAGATTTTAGAACCCATATAACATAAGATTAAAATTATCCAGTTGTGTAAACTCCTACATTAATATTAAATGTCAAAATGATTACCTCTGTAAACGAATCCCAGAGATCTTTGGTACGTGCATTGCTAAAGCGATACTTATTTAAGTAGTGTGATAATCCTTCCTGAAGAATTTTCATACCTAAGAATTTTTCCAACATATAAATAATTGATGCTCCCTGGAATAAAAACATTAATAAGTATCTTATTTTTGATTTGAATAAATATATATTTTAAATATTTTTAAATTATATTTATTTCTACAAATATTGATAAGATAAAATTAAATTAAATATATATTCACATGGTAACCAGTAAATAACTCCATGTTCAGTATTAAATACCAAACCTCATTCAAGGAGTTAATTAATGAGGGTTATAGAAAATCAGTAATAACATGGCAGGAGCAGATGTGGATAGCAATCTGTGATTGATTGGAGAATTTGATTTTTATGTCACTATGGAGAATCAAAGAAACTGAATTGAAACTTAAAAGTGTTCAAAGGAACTGCCAAAATTTGAAAATTTTATAGTCATGATCATTACTTTAAAGTGTATTGTTTGATTCTATAGGAAAAATACCTTTCAAAAATGTTTTTAGATACCTTGAATGAGGTTTCATATTGTGTGTTTAATATATTCATATACTTTTTCTGTATGGTTCATTAATACATATTTCTATACTGGTTGCCCAAATGAAAAGCGGACATACATCAGAATATGCTGAAAACATTTATTGCAAATCTAAAAGAAATCTCCATATTTGTTTAGACAAAGATCCAAGTGTGGCCGTCAGCCATGATATTGTATATTTTAATATTTTGTATATTTTATTTTTTATTTAATCCTAGCCTTCCTTCCTGTTTCTTTGTTCCTTGTAAGACCTTCTTATCTACCCCTTTTGCCCCTGGGGTAGGATTATCTTTTCCACGTAAATAAGAACAAAAGAGGAAGTGGGACCCTGGGGCAAAACGGACAGAAAATGAGGCACTCTGGGTTAAGATCCCAAAGAAAGCAGAGGAAAAAAGCGAGAGCTCATGATCTGAAGTTAAGGTTAAGGATTGGCAAGAAAGAAAAGAGACAGTTTCAGAAAAAAGGCCATAAGGACAACGAATAATCAAAGGGAAGACAACAATTTTTTGATATCGAGAAGTAGCCGTATAGACTTTAGAGTGAAAGATATCAAGTTGTCGCCATAATCCGAAAACGTATATACATACCAAAAGAAATCGTGGGTATTTCCATTCTCCCTACATTTTGTTTCCGTATCCATTTGTCCTGTACTCTTATTTTTCATTAGTTATACGACAGATATAAGTTAGACATAAGTTAGTTATATAATTAGTTTTTTTTTTTGTTATTTTGACGATTGTCACGTGTACAAACCCCGGCGATAGTAGAGGGCAAGCCTGTTCCTTTTTCTTTGTGTATAGAAGAAAGGCATAAAGTTTGTAAAGTTGGGATTCCGAAAAAAAAAAAAAAAATAGGAAAAGAACCAGTTTGGAGAGAATAAAGAATACAGTGTGATATAATTGAATTTTGTATCTTTCTTTTTGTAACTTTTCATTTGCGGATTTGTATACGTCTCTCACAACAAACTACCACACAAGCATCTCAAAAGCAGATTAGTGGCCCTCACATAGAATTCTGGTGGTTACTGGTAAAAAAATTCTTCAATCTTATCCTTTACCTCATTGTCTGATATGAATCTTTGCCGTTGCAAAGATTCATATCAGACAATGAGAAGTCCGAAAATGTGAAAGTTGTAGTGCAAGTTGTAATTCATCTGTCACTTCTGATTATGTTTTCCACAGTGGTGATTGATGCATTAGAGACTACGGTGTGTGCCTGACCCAGTCTCAGTTTATCCTGAATTGACTTGTGACCTTTTCTGTAACTCTTGCACTAAATATTCACTGCTGTTCGTCCTAAACAATGTTCACCATAAATGTGCTTCATTCATCTATAGATGTTGGTACTCCTATTCCTTTCAGGCACTAAAAACCGAACTACTTCTTGTTGTTCGATTCTGTCACTTCCATCGTAATTAATTTAACATTAATCTGCCAATTACTGGAGATAAAATCTATTCCTTCCAATACGTAATGCTGCCCATGCTTTGCCTATGCTGAGCTTACTCACTTGTAAGGTTGCTTACTAATTGCTACTTTGCACAATGAAATATGACATGTGTCCACTTTTTATTTGGGCAACCCTTATATCATAGTTATGTATCTGTATCAGATAAGTATGGTAATAATGATTTTTATGCTTTTCTAACCCATTATATATGTACAGTACAAGTTCCTTTGCCATGGAAGATGTAGACATACATGTAGTAGATAGATGTAAACAAAATAGCTATAGTTATAATTGTGAGTTTTGTGGGAATTGACTTGCAATAGAAAGTGCAAAAACAAAAGATAATTTAATTAACAAGATTTCGAGGTATTAATTGACAAATTAATGGTGGTTAGATGCCAGCTCTAGAAGTCTTCAGGTGCTTCACTTAGTTCTCTGACAAATAGTCCATTGGTATCTCCCAACAATACAACCATACTCAATTGAATTCAATGGCCATAACTGTAAAACAATCCATCCACTTGACACAGAAACAATACATTCAGAACTATATCTAGTGTGGCAATAATTAAACTTACATTAGATTCTTATTAAAATTATTCTAGTTGTGTTAATAAAAAAGAAAATGGAAAATGAAAATAGAGAAAAATTCCCTTTGAACAAATTCAAAAAAATAAAACAAAGTGGATTGGCAACATAGAGTCTTTTCTGACAGTATTACAATTTCACCACATGGAACAACTTATTCAAATTTCAGATAACTGAACTGTGTGCTATTGACACTTCTAGGAACATTCAAAATGTTTTACTCATAGTTCCTTACTCCCCAATCCAATACACCAAGTCCTTAAGGTTTATAATTTTTGGTCACACTTCATAGATGGATAAGTACCATTACATTTTGCCTTGTAACTTCAAAGTCTCTTCTATAGATACATCTAAAAAAAGGGCAGTCACAGCAAACAGCCACATAATCATTGAATTGTTTCATATATGGGTCATTCTAAGTTAAGAGGTACTTTCAACGTCCGTGAGAAAAAATCACATTTTTTTCAAAAATTTGTTTGAAATAATGTTATTATCTCTCAAAACTTACCATCTTCTTTATGGTCACTTAAATTCATTACTTAAATATACTTAATTTAGTCACAATAGTACTTCAAACATAAAAAACATATCTCCCCTGGCCTGTCCCCTAACCAATTCTGTTCGTGTATCAGTAATTTTAAATACATAGAAATCTAATAAAATATCAAAATCATTCATTTTAATAAAATAGGATAAGTAAATTATTGTAATCTAACAAGTAAAATTACATAATATTTCTTTTTCATAAAAAAATATTTACATCTAATTTGTCCCGCATTTTTCGCGTCTCGTCCCCTGGCATTTTGTATTTGTCAAAAAACGATGTTTGTTTACTTTGTCGCGGGAAATTGTGACCTTGAACACATTTCATTGGACGTGAAGTTAGCAGCAAGCATCAAGCGAGCTAACCACGCAGCATTTTGTCAGTGATTTCGGTAACGTTACTCTGTGGGTACAGTTGTGAACAAGTGAAGTGATCTCTCCCCTGGTAAGTTTTATTTTGTGATTATTTATCTAAGAACTTTATTTTATTTGTATATTTACTGTTATTTGTGCATAGATTTATTTGTTAATTATGTACGATAAATACTGTTACGATTATTTCAGTTTTCTAACGAAAAATTATCTCCCCTGCTTTTTAAGATTCCAGGGGAAAGACTTTATGTCCAGGGGAGATAAAAACGTCATATCAGAGTATTTTTATGGATAACATGTAAACCGTCGTTCCGTAATTTAGTCAATATACATTTTTACTCTTTTAGCCTATCTCATACATTTAATTATGGTATAATATGTCTTTTACAGAATGTTAGCAAGAAAAAAATGACATATAAAGAACGCCTAGAAAAAAAAACGTGTAGCAGAAAGATTAAGGTACCAATGCATAAAAAATGACCCTGACAAATACGCACTACAAAAACTTAAAGAATGTGAAAAGTATCAAAAGAAGAAAGAAAAAGGAATTGTTAAGACTGTGAACCAAATGACCCCCCAAAACAGCGAAAAGCTAGAAAATTGTGGAGAGAAAAAGCAAAGAATCGTAGATGTCTTTTAGCACTTCAAGTCATAAGTAATGAATCCTCAACCCTTCCTAGTTCGGATAATGAACACCCACTGCTACTGTCACCTCCTCAGAATGAAGATATTAACAGGCTGCTTGAAAATAAACAGTTTGATAATTTAATAATTATAAAATGAATAAATAAAGTTGATTCTTAAAATAAAGTCTATTTTATTTCATAACGCAATGTTAAAATCTCTCCTCTGTTCATAAAGTATCCTACCCTGTACACCTAGTCTCCCCTCTGTATTGAGTATCTCCCCTGGTCATTCATAAAACAAGATAAAATAAATAGACTGGCCACCTTGCAGATATGCACAAATTAGTTGTTTCAATAAAAATGTTACATAATTAGATTAAATTTCTAACATTTATGTTGTGGCCACATCTCTTAACCAGTGAGTACCTCTTAACTTAGAATGACCCATATACATGTCTCAATCACCATAAATTATGTAAATAAAATGTATAGCACTTTCCAATTATGTAAATCTTTTCATCTTCACCTACTTTGTCATATGATATTGCATCAAAAATTGCCTCAATCTCTATAGGATCATTAACATCTACCATTATAGGATGAGAGCTTCTTAAACTATCAAGATCTAAGGCTTTTTGTACAGTAATAACAAATTGATCCATCTGCAAAGAAAAAATATTTTTATCAGAAAATGCTTTCATAATCAGTTATTATAAAAATTTTAAAATATTTTAATGAGAAAAAGTAAAAATCTCAAAAAATATTAAAATGAATAGTAAAACTTTCTCAATGTAAAATTATTTTATGAAACTACAGCTCACAATTTTCAAAATATAATAAGAAAAACTAATAATGCTATTATTTGGTGGAAATTATCATCATTCTCTTCTCCAGTTTTATAATAATAGTCATTAAGTGATGCTAGTGTAAAAAGAAAATTAATTATTGTTTATATCAATGGTAGGTAGGTAGGGTCATTGAGAGAAGAAAAGCTGCAAATTTTCCTTTGGCCCAAAAAGAAACTTAGGGCCCTTAGTAGTTCTACATATTTTAATTATTGAAAAAAATGGCAAAAGGGTCACACTATACCATATGCTCTTAACATCCGTTTATCACAGCTTTCAATTATCCTGCTTCTAGAGGAGCAGTCCTATATTCCAGTGTCTTGTCCCTCAGTCCCACAAATAGCATAATTTGGCCTACAAACAGAGACTGTTTTTTAATGTATACCAAAGACGAATCATGCCAAAATGTTTGAAGACAATGTCTTCAAACAATATTTTGGCAACAGTGTTCCTGTTCTTCCTAAACATGAATATATTAATATTCTATATATCAGTAAAGTAAATTTCAAAAAGCAACCATGACCTGTGTCACTCTGTAACGAGAAAGTATAAGTACTCTTCCTACATTTCTTCTTAACAACATTTCTCAGCAATAATTATTTTACCTTGTTGCAGAAATGAAAAGTGGATTGTGAACCATACAGACACCATAATCTTACATGGATAAAGGCTCAGTTTCAATGCTTCGTCTACATTTAGACACTGTGAAGAACATTTATAGCTGTCATAGAGGAGCCATTTTTCACACAATCACAAGAAGAGACAATATACAGTACCTTCATTTTGTTCCAGAAAATCAAAGAAAGCAGACCTCTAAATGATATGCCTTGTCTCTTTTGCTGAGTTTGCATGTACTCATTTGTCAAGTTTCTTAACTTTTCCCAAAGCCTTTACATGTCAAGAAATGGATGAATAATGAACATTAACCTCAAACAATGAACTACAAGGGTGGGAAGTTTAAATTTTGAAAACTGACAATTTCATTTGCAACAACCCAATAGATTTGAACTTCTGGCATTGTCTTTGCCTCATTGTACTGTACATTTTCATGTTTTTGTTCTAAAACGTTATGTTCATATAATTAAAACCTTAATTTAAAGCAGATTGATTCTGTAACTTGTCTTCTTAATAAAATTATAGTCAATTGCTAAAGAAGGAAAACATTAGAATCATTAATATATTATAACTCCGTATACTTTATTTTTATGTAAACGATGTTCATCTGCAAATTTTAATATTTAAAATAATAGCAATTAAATTTTCATATTTAATTTAGAGGCTGTTTTTAAAAAAAAAATTTCAGCAAAGAACCCATTGAACCAGTATAGCCTATTAGATCAATAGATTCTATTGTGGTAAAATCAATCTAAAACCAATAAAAACATTTTTAACAGAATTTTGTTTTAATTTCTACCATTTGATTTTATGCAAATGCATGGGCATCCACAGAAAATTTTCCAGGGTGGCAATGAGCTTGGGGGCAAATAATTACATTGATAAATTTTTATCTAATATTTAAGGTGTCGAGGGTCAAACCAGCCAACCTGTAATAAAATTTGAGAGAGACAAAGCGTTCCATGATCGAGAGTGTAAAGTTTCATATCTCAATCGTGTTTATGATCATAATTTGAGGAGTTTTTTAATTGATCGCAAGGAGGGGCAAGTGCCCATTTTCCTCCTCTTCAATTGCCCATGTGCATATGTGTTCCTGGTCTTAGTCAGTAGCATAACTAGAACTGACTTTAGGGAAACTGAATTAGAACAAGCAAATTTACATTTATCCCTGTATGTACCACTATGGATGTAGCCACTGGTGAAGAATAAACTCTTAGATATTGTATACATGGTATATACATGTGTATAAGTTCATTTGTCACATTCAAATCATTCTCCTGTACTCATTTGATTTTTTTTTATTTATTTATTTACAGGGCCCAGAACTCTTGCACTCACAGTACTGGCTTTATTAATAACATAATGACCAATGTTTAAAAAAGTAATCATACCATATTCCATTCAGGACGTATAGAATTAGTTCCAAGATATTCTGTGAAACTTGCAAAACCTTCGTTGAGCCACAGATCATTCCACCAATCCATTGTCACCAAATTACCAAACCACTAAAATCATAAATCAATTAATTACTTTTGATAATAATTACAAAGATTTAAGAATTAATTAATATGCAAAGTGATATCAAAATTTAATTAAACTTTTTAAAATTATTTATAAACAAACCATATTGTTTATCCTCCATTTATTAATTAATCTTGGAAATAATAAAATTTATAACAGAAAGTCATGTATTGTTGGATGAATATTACTTATGAAATTGATTGATTAATTTTAAAATCATTTTTGAGTGAAAATTTACATAGAATCACTTTTGAGATGATTAACTGTCTTAGTAATTTATAAACTAGGGGAGACATCCGCTGTTTTATGTGATAATTAACTGTTTTTTTTTTTTTTCTGGTACTCACATGTGGCAACGAACGACGGAAATCGTCGACGGAAACAGTCGACGTTTTTTGTCTTATAGAATTATTGTAGAGATATTTGCATACATTGTCAAGGTGATCAGTTATTGGATGCGTTTCACATGATAGCTAGGTGTACTAGTTTAAAAAACTACATGAAAGTATTTTTGATGTCGCTACTATTTCGTTTGAAAAATTTTTGACCTTATTGTGGTCATTTGAGTAGAGTGACGTATATTCTGATTTTTTGCATATTGGAGAATTTGATTTTGCTCAGAGGTGGCATTGGTTTTTCCTTTAAATGTGTGTTCGTGACTAAGAAATTTTGGGCGACTATCCGCTGTTTGATGTGATAATTAACTTCTTTTTTTGTCTTATAGGTGGGTGTAGTTAATTTTTTTATTGTTTGGATAGTTCTCTCAACAATTTTATGTTGATATTTTGTTTAATTAAAATATTATTTCTTAGTATTAGTTTTGTATACTTTGTATTTTATTTATGTATATTCTGAATTTTGTTCTCTGTATTAATTCATGAATTGTAATATTACTGTAGTTTGTATTGTATATCTAATGATTTTGTTGTATGTATTCCCCACATCATGGGGTTTTCCCAGTATGTCTAAATAAATTTTTTAAAAAAATTTATAAACTATGCTACAGCTAAAAGAATTTTCATTGTTGGAAACAAATCTACTAGTAAAGACCTGTTTTGAAAGAATTGTAAAAAAACTCTGTAGATTAAATCTCTAACACTTTGATTGCAGCAATATTTCAAGATGGCTGAAGAGAAAGAATCATACAAGAATAAAAAACAAATGCAAAGCAGAAGTAGATCATTGGAGAGAAGAGAGTAACAGAGGAGATGAAAGAGAATATTACTGATATTGAAAATCCATACATATCTGTTTCCACTCATGTTTTGCTATTCTGTTAATTGACTAGGTGAAAAATTAAAAAATTTTTAACAATCAAACAATTACTAGATTTGGAGATCTAGAAGTTAAAAACTGAAAAACTAACCTGATGAGCCAACTCATGAGCAATAACTGTAGCAATGCGTTCTTCAGAGTTAGTAGAAGTTTCTTCGGGATTAAATAAAATCATGGTTGTTCGATATGTAATAAGACCCCAATTTTCCATAGCACCAGCTCCAAAATCAGGAATGGCAATCATATCTTTCAGAAACAAGAATGATGATAAATAATAGTAATAAATTAACTTTGAATACTTGAAAGCATCGTTATTAGAAAACAGATTAAAACAGAAATTATTTTCAGATATAAAAAAGTATTTGTTATTTTTAATTAATTATAAATAGCATAAATTGATGCATATTCTAAATGCATTAAATACATACACCAACTGTCTAAAAATTACCAGATTAAATATTTCTAGTGAACAGCACAAGTTCCAGACAGAATATAAATATAGAATATACCATTGTTTGGTCATGTACATAATTTATTTTGCATTGTCAGTGTGTGTTGTTGTTGACCAGTTTTGATGCAAAGCATTAATGTAATTTTCCTGCATCACAATTCTTGCAATAGTCATTAATTTTTGTTTCAAAAGTGGCAAAATTGCCACAGAAACCTTCTAGATGTTGAAACAAGCCTACAGATATGAGTGTCTGTTGAAATTAATTTGAAATTAGGCTGCCCAACTGCTAATGAAAATTTCAACTAAGTTTGCTCTTAAGTATTGTGAACATGCCATGATAGCAAAAACACTGAAGAACAAGAAAGACACTAACTTCTCCAGAGGAATGGTGTGGACAGAGATGAAAAGTGCATTTAAGATTTGTGCCTAACTCGTTAATTAATACCTGAACAAAAATAGCACTTTGCATTTTGATGCAGCATCTGAATAAGGATATCCTATGGTGCAATGGCAATTGGTCTCCTCTACTCTTTTGCACCCACTAAAAGTAAATGATATAAACCTGACTACTGCCGATATCTCAGCTAACATAGTTATATATAAATATATGTACTATATAATACATTATATTATCTGTGGATATCACAAGTTGTGATTTGAGAGTACAGCTGAAGAGGAGCATATAACCTTGTAAATCAGCAGACTAAAACACTCATTTTTACTAAAGCAAACATTTTTCATTTGAGTAATAGACCATCCTCAGGCATGGACAGTCAAAACATGTGACTCATCTCTTGACTGTCCACACCTAAGGATGGCCTAATAACCAGGTAAAAATGTTAGCACTCTTTTTAAAAAATTTTCACTGATAAAGATGCATTGGGTAATTCAGTTAACACGTAAGTTATGACAGTGGTTACATCATCTTTGTTATCAATATGACCAAGAATGAAGGGAAAACAAAGTACTACGAGGATCCCAACCATCAAAGGTGAAGCATGTAAAATTGAGATTCAAAATCATGTTAATCATCTTTTTCAATGCTTGTGGCTTAATTCATAGTGAGTTTGTATTCTATAATATAATAATATCATCCTAGTACTACATCAAAGTTCTAAATTGATTTTTGAACAATAATCCCTCTAAGCTGCATGTGTGCAGCTACACACTGATTTCTATGGAGTTGCATAGGCTTTTACTTCCCATGCATACAGCCAACAGAAGGACATCTTCATACAAAACATTCATGATGATCCAAATAATTTCTATATACAGGATGATTAAGGAGGAATCTGCAATATTTCAGGAAATGTTAGTATGGGTGATTCTAAGCAAGATAGTTCATAAGAACCTGTCAGATTTCTTGTATGAAAATTTTTGCTTGGATGCATTTCAGCACTACGCAGCTATTAGAGAGAACATTGCTTTTGAAACAAATTTGATGTGTCAGACCAGATCTATACCAGGAGAAAGACTTTTTCCTGTTTCATGGCACTGCTCCTGTACATTCATCTGACTGTCACCCAAGTTTTGGCTTATAGACAAATCCAATACTTTCTCATCCTCCTGATTCATCAGGTCTGGCACCTGCAGACATTTTCCTGTTCTTGAAGCTTAAAGTTCACATAAAGGGTCATTGATACAAAAGACATTCAAAATGAGTGTGATAAGGGAACTGAAGGGCATCACAGAAAAGGGCTTTAACAGCTTTAATTGGTTGCATGAATATTGTAAGAAGTGCACTATTACTGCAGGGATATCATAATAGAAAAATTTGTAGCTCATATGTACATTTTCCTGGAATTTTTAGATAGCCGGTGTATTCTAAATTTAGACTAATTTAAGTAAAACAAACCTAATTTGGATAATGGATAGCTGATATTAAAAAATTTTTCATAATTTATTAAAATATCGGCTGCTGCATCTAAAGCAAAAGAGGCTTGATCTATTTGTTCTTCTGGTGCCAATACTCTAACCTATAAATATATTAAATAAAATTATTAATTGTTAAAATTCCTAAAAATGAGTTTAACAAAACTTACCTCAATTCCTTTTTTTGTCATGTTTATCTGCTTAAAATCACAAACAACAAATGCAACTAGATAAGTACTCATTTTTACTGTTTCTTCAAATAATGTTAACCTCAAATTATTTCCATAAGATGTGGTTTTAATCAATTTTGAATTAAAATAAGCAGAATGTGATAAATCATGCACCATTTTCAACTGAAACTTAGCTTTCATAGCGGGTTCGTCAAAACATGGAAAAGCCAATCTTGCTGCAGTAGGTTCAAAATGTGTGGTGGCGAGATACCTAATATGAAGAACAATTAACTTCAAATAAAAAATTAAATTTAGCAAATTCCACAATTCAAAATTTAAATTATAAATCTAATTTAATTATAATAAATAACACATTTTAATTCTGCATTCAAACACAATAAATCTCATTTAAACTTCCTAAAGTACTGTTAGAAAAAAAAAAAAGAAAAATGGATAAATTAAAAAGCTGAACATTTAAGATTTTACTTAAAACAGAAATACCTTTTTTCTCCAGCTTTTGTTTTATAAGAACTAATATAAAATCCTTCCAATTTTTCTTCTAAGATATTCATAAAATCAATAATTAGGACATAATTTGTGCCTTTTTGTAAACTTTTGGAGAACTGAATATAAATTTGCTCATGTTTGTGACATTCAATATGTTGAAGAATTGTAATTTCTTTTTTGTTCTCTGTCATAAGAATGAATTTTGTAAAATTTAAATCTTTAGCATGTAAAACCACAAAGTTGGACTCTCGATCCAGAACAAAACTAATATTAACACTGCCCTTATTTAAAAAGGTTGTTAAATTTGGATGAAGAAACAACGAATAATGCTTTGGAACTATAAAAGAAGGTAGGCGAATGTCCTGCCAGGGACACATGTTGTCTTCTGGTTGTTCTTCAGTCGGAGAAACTTCGGTTACTTCGAGATGAGCTTCATTTTCGCAACGTGAGACCGGCCGTATGAAAGCTGCAATCAAAGCAATCACCAGCAACAGCACAAATATTACAGCAGTTACGCAGACAGCTTGCAATTTTGTGCATGAGAAATGTTTTTGTTTGTCACCAACAGAATCATCTTCATAAAGCTTTTGTTTTTCTTCAGTTTTATCTGAAATAATTAAGAACTAATATTTTATTCTTTAACCTATTAATGTTTTAACAAATGCCAAATAAACTTAAATAAAAAGCAAAGTTTTATTTTAATGCATTTCAATAGTTACAGAGTTGTGTTTCATTTCAAAATATAAAGTTTCTTCGAATGAGCTCTCATTCTTAATGAGGGTGAAAGCTCATGTAAAGTGTCAAAAACTGTATGATATTATTTTCATAAAAGTAAAATAATATGCCCCATCTTGTAATTTCATATATGATTTTACATATTTTTTCATATATTTACTTTCTTAAAAGCACTAGACAAAGAGCAATTAATTAATATTATTACCAAGAATGTCTTAATCAAATTAGTTTATGTGAAAGAAAGCCATTTGTTTACTGGAGAACACTGTGGTGTTGTGACATTTGATGATAAGCTATGTTTCTGTAAGAAGCCGACTTCCAGAGGCAATCAGTTAATTACACGTCAGTGATGATCTAGGGTCCATTCATATTCGTTTGTTTGATAAGCCAGTAAAAACTGTAGACTTCTCCAAATGTATTTTTAATAACAGAATTACATTCCGAATCGCTAGCCCCGATATAAAGGCTAAAATTAAAAATAATTGGTAAAATAAAATGTGTGGTGGATAAATATACCTGGTACAAAATATTCTTCAATTGTATGAATATACTTTTAAAGAAAATTATAATTAAATATTGTTTTGTAAAGAAACGTACTGTATATAAAAATAACATAAAATATTCTTTACTTTTTAAATCTAAAAACAATAAACTTAGTCTAAATTAATAGCTCCCTATGTGTGGCTAATGGATGGAATCAGAGACAGTCCTGGTAGGTGTACAGTGCGTGTATGCACGCGGGCTACCAAATCCCGAGGGTGCCAATACCGGTCAATGTCAAATGCCTCTTTTGTCGCATCACTGGTATACCTCAAAGGACGCGAATTTGACAGACAATCTACTTAGTATTAAGTTTAACATATGTAGATTTTTACAGCTATGGTGAGAAACATTTAAAATTTACAACAACCCTTTCGCGTCCTTTGAGGTATACCAGTGATGCGACAAAAGAGGCATTTGACATTGACCGGTATTGGCACCCTCGGGATTTGGTAGCCCGCGTGCATACACGCACTGTACACCTACCAGGACTGTCTCTGATTCCATCCATTAGCCACATATAGGGAGCTATTAATTTAGACTAAGTTTATTGTTTTTAGATTTAAAAAGTAAAGAATATTTTATGTTATTTTTATATACAGTACGTTTCTTTACAAAACAATATTTAATTATAATTTTCTTTAAAAGTATATTCATACAATTGAAGAATATTTTGTACCAGGTATATTTATCCACCACACATTTTATTTTATTCGTTTTAGGACCAGGTATCCACGGAAATTTCCAAAATTTACAACTTTTCGGTCACTCTCGTTGAACTGGAAAAATTTCTGTTTATATTACATCTAATATTACGAAGAAATCAGTCTCCCGCTGTACTCGGCTAGAGATTGGGTCGGTTAAGCTTTTAAGTAATATTCTGGCTCTTTCACTAGGGTTTTATTTATGTCCGTAATTCCCTAATCTCTTAATTATTTAACCACTTCTTAAGTAGAAATAAGTTGAAACCGGTTACTTTGTACTCGAATATTTGTAGTCTTGGGAAAGTGGAAAGAAATTTTTATGACAATGGATACATAAATCGTAAATTTAAAGAAAATAAATTCTAGAGCTTTTTTTTGTACCTTGTGCATCTCATTCATTAAATTTAGTCGTAAATGATGCTGCCAAAGTAACAGTTAATTTTTTAACATCGTACAAGAATTGTACACGTTTTTTTTTGCATCCCCTTAGATGGGACATACTGAATCATAATATTTACATTAACATTAACATTGAAATCTGTAAGTAATACAAGATGGGAGAGCAGAATAAATATGTCAAATATTTTAATGGTTTTTTTAAAACTCCTGTCAACTATACAGGACTATTATAAAAACATACAAGTAAACTCTTATCAGTGGGTTAAGTTATAAATGTACTCGTGATTTATTCATTCATTCTGCCACTGATATTCGAATATATAATAGCAATCTTATCGTTTTTTTCACATGTAGTATAAAAATTTGTAATAAGATACATAATGCGGGTTATAATAAAATATTAATTTTAATTAATTTAAAGTACGTTAAAATATGAAAATAATTGCACAATATGTATGTATATTTTAGAAAATGCAAGGGAAGCAGCACTTCCACCGCTTCCAAAGACGACATGCCACTGGTTAAGTTATAAATCTGCTCGTGGTTCACATTATAAGATTGCTATTGTATATTCGAATATACAATAGCAATCTTATCGTTTTTTTTCTTCACATGTAGTATAGAAATTTGTAATAAGATACGTTCAAATAGAAATACGTATTGTGCAATTATTTTCATATTTTACAAAATACAAGGGAAGCAGTGCTTCCACCACTTCCAAGGATGGCATGCNTCTAGTTTAGTAGTGTTACAGAGTATAATACGTATATTTTAATATATTTTTTAAAAGAAACAAAACCACTGAGAAATGTTACGTGCGTTTAACAACGGGTTCGGAAAACTTTGAAAATGTTAACAACGGGTTCGGCCGAACCTGTGCGAACCCGCTGAATATCACCACTGCCCTTATAGATGGGACATACGAAATCGTAATACCACTAGTTTAACATTGAAATCTGTAAGTAATACAAAATGAAAGAGCAGAATAAATATATCAAATATTTTTATGGATTTTTTTAAAACTCCTGTCAACTATACAGAACTATCGTAAAAACATATCAGTAAACTCCTATCGGTTGGATTAAGTTATAAATCTACTCGCGATTCACGTAATGGAGCCAGGGCGGCCAAATATCTAGCAAGCAGGCGGCTAACAGCCCAGAACCGGTCTTGGATAGAATCATTGGAAGCGTTATATGATATTTTGGTGTGTAGCATCCACCAGTTAAATCGCGTGAGGTTGCTGCTGTGTAAAGCGCAATGCGCAAATGTGTATAATCTTGCTGCTTACGCCATTCAGATATTTTGGCCGTGGAAGCTGTCCCGTATTCGACAATACAGCGCTTCCATTCCGCCACTGATATTCGAATAAACAATAGCAATCTTATCGTTTTTTTTTCACATTTGGTATAGAAATTTGTAATAAAATACAAAATGCGGTTATAATAAAATATTAATTTTAATTAATTCAAAGTACGTTAAAATATGAAAATAATCGTGCAACATGCATTTTCTAAAATATAAATACATGGACGGCACGCTACTGACACTGCTGGAGAAGTACAATGATCTTTGCTAGGTGGCAATAGCAATAATGCATTTCCAATTTCATTCTGGGCATCCATCATTTAGTCTCTAGTTCCATGAATAGAAATACAAAGATGTCACGTGTCACGTGACACGTGTCTGGTAAGACCACTCACTGAACAAGTGTTCAGTGAGTGGTCTTACCAGTGGAGTTGGTACCACGTGATATTCTGAACATGTTCATGTTGCTACTCACACAACTCGAGACTCTGGCATTATGTAACATTTTTGTAAACACTCCTGTTTATAATATAGTATTTATGAAAGGCATTATGTGTGTATATAACATAATATACGATTGTACATACCCGAAATCAGCTAAGAAATTCATTTTAATAGGCCTACTATTAAAACGTTTCAATGGAAAGGCCCGAGTTTACCGATATGCCTAGGACCCGTAACATTTAAAATCGGCACTGATTGCACTCATCTTACACAACCGTCGTCCGCGTCTAACACGTGCATCCCTTTTTCATAATATTGTACCTTGATGTCACTTTAACACTATTAAAGATTACGAATTTATATCAAATTAATTCCCTAGGGGAATTCTCTGTGTGTGCTTGCGTGTATTTCGTTTAATATCTCAGGATGGGGTGAAGGTTAACAAACGAAAGTTTGCACCGTAACTTGCAAACCCCGCGTTTCTTTATGCAACGCTCGAGAAGCGCTTTACAGCGAACACACTGAAACCGGTTTCTAATTGGCCAACACTGCTCGTGGTGTCATTTTGCTACACTCTCGCTGCATAAAGAAATGCGGAAAAACTTTCCAGGTGAAGCCGGGTAAGTTAGGCAATTCGTTTGCTGTTTTTTTAAATGAAGAATTTTATTTTAATCTAACAAAATTACTCGTTTTGTGTTTTTGATAATACAGTAGAGCGTTGTTTATCCGAATCAATCGGGGACTGGGGTTGTTCGGATAACCGAATATGTAAGAAAAAATATATTAACCTATCCCGTGTTGAAATTTTTCTCCGTTGCGTGTCGCTTCGCGTTGAATTTTCGTCGATGTTAAGCCTAACGTAAAGTTTTAAAAATAATAATCGTGGCTATTGTATCGTTAAAAATTATTTCTTTATTTTGTACAAAATAAATATATTGAAAAATATAAAAACAAAAAAATTATACTTTAGATGGAATGGTAATCTTAAAAACGTTCGATTCAGCACGGCACATTCCGCCTGGAACGCTTTTGGTTAACCGACGTTTCGGTTGATCGGCTTTCGGATAAACGACGCGCTACTGTACTTAAATGTTATATCCTCGTATAACTGAAAATTTTCGGACTTCCTCACCGATCCTCTTAATCTCCTGTTCGAGTGCCAGGAAAGTCGCGCAAGAGTGCCTTGCAGGGGACACGTGCCCCCTTTTCGTCTTGGTTTCCGCTTTCCTAATCACCAAGAAGGCACCAAACAATAGAAAATAAGTGATTTCTAGCCTATTCTGCAAATATAAAAGAAACTAACGAACGATGTTTGTCCATTAATCCCATGCAACTTCGTGGTACAGTACGTCGATCAAAACCCCATTCCTTTTTTTTTCGGTGCCAAATTTAGCCGGCCCCAGGGCCGTGCCGTAGTACGATGCAGAGATGCAGCCGCATCAGGCGGCACCGTGAGGGAGCGGCATAAAAAACATTT